GGCGGCAGAGCGCGTCCAAACTCAAACGAAAAGCAAAACTGGCCACCAAAAAGAGCCGCCTTGTTCGGAAGAGGCCATGCTGGTTCACAAAGAGCAAAGGCGGAAGTCAGGAGACGAGACGCGAACGCCACCCTCCTAACTTCCCATCGACGGGAGGCGCCACAAAAAAGTCCAAAAGCAAACGATGTTTTTGTTTTCTGGGAGGGGAGGGGACAACTTTTCGCGCCACACTTCAGAAGAGTGCGCGTGTGCAGCCTTGACAAGCGTTCAAGGTACGCGAACGTACAGGCCAATGTACATAGCTGCCACAGAAAGCGAGCGGTGGCAATCAGTTCGTCGAACGACGTTTCATCGACGGTTCGCTTCGTCGACAGACCTTGCAACGTTTTCGTCGAAAGCGTCTTTCCGGGCACATCGCCTCGGTCGCCGGCATTCGATGGTGTAGCCTAGCTTGCTGGCGGTCCCGATGAGGCCCGGTGCAAGTTCGGGCCTCAGATCACATATGCTGAAGTTTCCCCGAGCGGAGGTGGCGTGTCGGCGCGTAGCGCAAAATTTGAAATTAAAAGCTCGCGACTTTTTTTTTTTTTCCCCCATCGAAATCACTTGGTCGAGTCCGCTTTTAGTTCCGGTATGCTTCCAGTAGACGAAATGAAGCTAGTAACCCCCAATTCAATTCACTTAGTAAAAAGAAATACGCTGTCGACGAAACGATAGGGACTCCAAAGCCCACCAATGCGGCTGTACAGAACTTTCTGATCGCGCGCTGCGCACAGACAGGAAAAGGGCGCGTCGAGCGAGCAGCCTCGTTCGCAAATCCGGCCATTGTGCTGTTGTTCCCACAACGACTCGTCAGCGGGGGACTTCGGCGCAGCGGACGACACGCGCACACGTCAGTTCCAGCGCCGACGACGCGACAAGGACGGAACGGGCGTCACCAACAAATGACCCCCCCAGTGCGGCTCAAACTGGCTCAAACAGCCGCCGAGTGCTGGATGTGCCCACGTTCCAATCGTCGAATGATCGGGGGACCAGGACAATTTCAGAATGCACGAAACAAGGAAAAAGAGGGGAATAGTTGCTTCGAAAGGTTGTTTCTCATACTCATTTTAATTAGTATTGAAAGCAAACGAGTAGGAAAGACAAAGAGCAGGCACACGAGGAGAGACCACAGTGTGTTCGTCTCCTGTTCCTTGTCTGTAACTTTTACGCTGTCTGTTTTCAATTATGGCCTACCTTGAGTTCAGCCCTACTTCTTTTTTTGTGTTATATATATTTCTATATTTCGTTATATCTCGGAGCTAAAAAAAAAAAAAAAAAAAAAAAAAACATTTACACCCCTGCTTTTCAAATTATGCTCAAAATTCTGTCTCTCGGTAAATCATCTGCCCGCCACTTTTGTGTGCTATTACATTTCCCCCAATCTTTTAACCTCCTCGTTGCGACTGTAATCCGACGCTTTTACGATGTTCGATAGCTACCGAAACCTGCTGACATCTACCGTACATGTAGTTCTCCCACTTGTTCACGGGGTTTGGTAGTTTTCCTCGGTTTTCCCGGAATCCTACGGGTCTCGTATCGAGTGACTTCGGGTCTTACGAAAGGAATGTCACCGGCACAGTCAGAGCCGCTTGCCGATACTTTCCTGCTAGCGACACTACCCTTCATGCTGAGTTTCCACCCGGCGAGGTGTCACCGCCGGGCGAACCATAAATCCCCTGTCCAGGCAAACCATAATCCTTATTCCAACCAAACCCTTAAAAAAAGAACACGACAAGTTTAAGACAGCGCGCGTTAGCTTTGATAAGCGCGTTGACAGTGTAGTGACAAATAAAAAGGACACAATGCAGAAGAAACACGACCTTTCGATGCGCTCTATTTATTAATTTTTTTCTCCTGTGTTTTTTTTTTTTTTTTTTTTTTTGTAAAGCAAGAATTGAATATTATCACGTGCACAAACAAATAAATGTAAAAATATAAAAAAAATGTAAAAAAAAAAAACTTCAAGTAACAAGGTCTGACAACTTAATTCTCACTCGGTGTTGACTTGGCGAAAAAAAGAAAAACTCGACTACGTTCTATAATACTTGAAAAAGTCCAGAGTTCTCATCGATACTAGACTTCTCAGAGCCCAGCAAGAGCAAATATTATCACAACTGAAGTGCTGCCCCCCCCCCGCCCCCCCCCCCCCCCAGTGATGCTCCAAGTCTACACTTCATTGTTCGAGAGGCGAAAATATTTCAATAGCTGGAGCAGTGGCGTACCAACTTGTTTTTGAGTGGGGGGGGGGGGGGGGCAAACCCCCCCCCCCCCCCCGCCCCCCCCCCCAGGGCCGGGGTGCGGTGGCGTTGGTATCCCTTGGGCGCCGCAGGCCAGTGTTTGCCCTGCCCAGTGGCGGCTGTTTCAGGGGGGAAGGGGGGGGGGGGGGGGGGGGCAAAACATGTCTTGCCCACCCCCCTCCCCGCACTCTGAGAAAGGGGGGGGGGGGGGGCAGCCCATGAGCTGGAGAGTCAGTGACCTCACCTAAGCCCTACCACGCAACCCTGCTGCACAAAAAGGCAGTGCCCATTAAAGAAATGCGTTGGAAAATGCGGTGCTTGACGCGGTATAAAGGAGTGAAAAACTGCTGCCTAATTCCTTAGTCAGATATGATGTGACAGTTTATGGTTGCAATATTTCGCTCACATAATAAATTGCAACATTAAAAAATAATAATAATAAAAAGGTACGACTTTTTGCGTGTTTCTTGATTTATGCCGACGTGATACTTTCCCCACTGCTTTTCCAAAGCTGTCCGCGCAGCATGTCGCCCAAGCTGCTTTGGCTTGGGATGCTCTTTGCCCTGACAACCACACACACAAAAAAAGCAAATATAATACCAAAAAAAAAAAAAGAAAGAAAAAAAAAGAAAAAGGATGAATAAAAACAATGATAAAATTTTATCGCTGCTCCGTGCTTCGCTTCCGCGGCACGCAGTATCCGAGTGGAAAGGAAACAAAATGGACAAACAAACAAACAAAAACTAAGCACGCGGCGCTTCAGTAAATACTTCCGGTTTTTGTCTTAAAATTTTTAATTTTTACTATAATACCTAAAGTTGGTTCATCAGCACGTTTGGATTATGCGGAAACCTAGTAGGGCGGAAGACGTTGTTCGATCGATTACTATGCTATTTTTAGTTATATTCATTAATTGAACCGATGCAAGATATGGCGAAGTTGAACGATAACTTCGGTATTTTTGTTTTCCTTAATTAAATTATATGAAAAAAAGAAACAAAAAACAGATACGAGGAAGAGATGAAAGATAGCGTCGAAGTTCGATGGCCTGTGGCGGCCACTCTGACAAGACGATTTGCTTTCCGACGCTTTATCGGAGAATCGAAGGCATTAATGAAGTGCATTATTATCCTTTCTTTCGAGATCTCGACTTCCAACCTCATATCTCCAATCAACCGCTTCCTTCTACATGCGTGCATTTTCTTTCTTTTTTTTTTTTCTTTCTTCGTTATCGAGGCATACCAGTAAACCGTGCCATCGTCTCACGCAGATCAACCAGTAAAAGACACGTCACTATCAAAGTCGCGTCGTCCAGAGAAAAAGAAAACATTACGCCACACCCCGCTCTAAATAAATAAATAAATAAAAAAATAAATAAAAGACGAATCTACTACAAGGACAAAGCCTTTTCGAATGGGAGGAAGGATGGGGAAGAAGCGAGTCGGAGAGAACAACTCACTCGTCGTGTGACGAAGACGACGACAGAGCGTTACTACGGGCGGCGCGCACGCAGTTCAGAGACCTTTGGGAAAAAAAGTCCTGGGCCTCCGCAACAGCAGCAGCAGCAGCCGCGTGCGAAGAATTTTTCGTGTCAACTTCCCTTTTCGTTTTATGCTTTACAGCAGCAGAAGCGGCGGCTTTAGACAACGTTGTGATGCCGTTTTTTTTTTTTTTTTTTTCGTGAGACCGAAGCCGAGCACTTGTAGTAACCACGCTGGCGGCGTTTAGCGACCCGGCAAATAAAACAAAATATAGGATACAGCTGCACATTAGTCAGACCTTGCGAGCTACTAAATGGCTTGTTCCGAAGGCTCGGCTTTTTGTAACAGCTTCGGGAAAGGAGACAACGCTAACAGTAAGCTTCAAGTTCTACGGGATAGGATAGGGCGAACCAGTTTCAGTCGACCCTTTTTCAAACGTTTAAACGAGCGACGCTGGCGAAAGCACTCTCCAATGCAAAATAAACTGCAAAAAGCAAAAAAAAAAAAAAAAAAAAAACGCGCGAGATAAAGCAAATCCGACTTGATAACCCTCTTCATTCATGAATTATAAACTCTACGCTGCTGGGGTGGTGTGCGGCTACGGGCCAACTTCGTGTCCGTGTTGTTCACGCAGCTGGCGCGCCGCTGTACAACGATCCGTACGTTGGATGGAGACTTCCGGACCATGTAAAAGTTGGGGAATAACCGGGGGTACGAATCAAACTGTACCGAGACGCCAGCGTCCCGCGAGGGGGGAGTCAAAACCATATTTCGGCGCGAATTACGTTCACTGTGCGTACCTCGTCGGTCCCGCTTTCGCGGAGACGACCTCTGACAAACGATTAGGGCATGTAAAGAGTGTGTTTGGCGAGCGTCCGGTAGACAGGTGTTGCGCAGATTAGGGTAGCAGCCAAGCACAGACGCGTACGGTATTTCAGCAAATCGGCTTCGAACGGCGCGTCGGCAAAAAACAGGATCATTAAAGAACGATAAGTTCGCGCAATTCTTTTTTCTTCGAAAGCGTGCACGGCTTCTCTTATTAAGGTGTTGTTGTGAAACCAATCTCAGGGGCAGTCTTCCATTTTATTTTTTATCTGCGTGACTTTTATGACGCAGAACGCGCGAGCTCGCGCGCAATCATTGATGAAGCAACGCTACATAATGAACAAGACGACCACCGAGATTGCAACGACAACTATTCGCAGCGGGGACGGAAGAAAAATAAAAATGGGCGACCCCTTACCTCGTTAAACGCCATCCTGTTGATGTTAAGAGTCGTGCGGATGCATTGACGAACTTGCACTGCTAGGTTGAAGAGGTCATTCAGCAGAGACACTCGACACAAACACGAACCCACCACCTGAAGCTGGCCGATTTCACTCGGGGGCGAGAAGTCACTCCTCCTATCACACAGACGGCAAATCCAACGTTCCACTCGCGCTGGTTCGGCAAAGAAAAAGCTCGCGCTAAGCGTCTGGACGCGCGTCACTCATTCGACAGCTATTATTGAGTTGATGGGTCTCGCTGACGCGGAATCAAAATAACAGAGCGGAGGGGGAAAAAATTAACATACAAGCGCAAGGATGCCAGGATTGATAAGCCTAACAAATATACGCGATCACCGGCAGTCACGGTTTTGCTATCGTTGCTGGATATGAATGCTTTCGAGTTGATTCCTGCTCTAGTTCGTGAATAATCCGGCGTCTCCAACGCCGCGGTTGAGTGTGCACGCAACTCACGACAGCAAAGCGCTCCACTTCACTCGCGAAATGCACATCGGACCATTTCTACTCCGCACACCGCCATGACAGCGAGTCTCCATTAGGCGGATGAACACAAGCTTAACCGGAAGCGCACGAGAGTTGTGCGTAAACGCGTAAACGGCGTAAACTGCCGGAAACGTTTTCTAGATAAAAAAAGTAATCCTCTTCAAACCTCAAATTGCAATCTTTTGCTCAATATAAAGATACTTTTAATATTGAATAAAACTCAATATATATGTATATGTTTCAATATTTACTCATCATAAAAAACTATATTATTTGCTTGAATGCTTTATGCGACGTCTACCGGTATTTATGCACGACCGGCGACAGGCTGCGGTCGAACGCAAACGTAAACAAACCAGACGTGGACACTGACTTTCCGAAGTCTCAAGTGCGAAGATGAACTTGTCAGCTTTTTCCAGCGACACTTTCGACGCCAAGGAATGGATCAACAACGCCTTCCAAGCACCCGAAGCTCAGGAAAACAAGGAGGCCTACGCTTCGGAGGTAGCCTTCAAGCTGCAGCTCTTCATCCAGGAAATGAACAGCGCTCTGGAAGACACCGCTCAGCAAGTGCAGCAGAACTTGCCCAAGGTACTGCGTGACGTCGAAACGATGCAGCAAGAAGCTGCCCTACTCAAACTCCAGATGGCCGCCGTTCAAAAGGACATCGCGAAAGTGGAGCAGGACTCATCCACGTCCATGAAGACACTCCTAGAACTGGACACCATCAAGCTGCGAATGCTGGAAGCGAACCAGGCACTCAGAGAAGCCGACAACTGGACGACGCTCTCGGCCGACGTCGACCAGGTCTTCCAGAGCGGCGACGTCCAGGCGATCACGGCAAGGCTGGTCGGGCTGCAGACTAGCCTCGAGATACTCGTGGACGTGCCGGACTTCGAGCACCGGTTGCAGAGACTGGAGTCCCTCAAGAACCAGCTCGAAGCCATGTTGAGTACTCAGCTGGTGCAAGCGTTCACTTCGCAGTCGATTGACGCGGCAAAATCGTACGTCAGGATCTTCGGTGACATTCGGAGAATGCCCCAGCTCCTCAAGTACTACCACAATTGCCAAAGGACGACCCTTGTCGAAGCCTGGCGTAAGACCGTCGACAGCGACGCTGATGACATGTTTGTTGACTGGCTAAACAGCTTCCACGACGTTCTCGTGTCCTGGTGGCATGCCCAGATGAGCTGGTGCAACCAAGTTTTCCCGGATCCGCCTGCGGTCTTCGTGCTATCCGACATAGTCGTAGATGCCATCACGAACCTGGAGCCGAACTTGCCCTTTTGCTTTGAAGCCGCCATGAAGTTGCAGAAGACTTCGTCCACGTTCCTGACCGAGGTGCTCCAGATCACCGAACGGCTCTGCAAGAGTCTGGAGCTCTCCATTACCAATGTCAACCCTAACTTCATGGACAGCCCCCATGTCGTGGCCCTGATGAAATCTCTGTTCTCCATGTTTCAGGCTCATCTCGAGGCATATGACAAACTTGAGGAGAAGTGCCTCATAACTCAACTGTCTCTGATTCCAACGCAAAGCGACGACATGATGGATTCGGTCCGCCTCCTCGCAGACTCTGTTGGCAAAGTGTTTGGGTTGGTGAGAGATGCCGAAAAGCGCTGCAGCGTGCTTCTGCACGGTTGCTGCTATCCAGAGTTTCTCAAGGCCGTCAAGGCACTTTTCCGGGCATACTTTGAACGATGCACATTCGTCTTGGCTCAGCTAAAGTCCGTATCTAGACGTGCTGACCTAGACAGTTGGACCATGTTCCAGCATGCGCTCAAGTGCATGCAGACTATAGGAGACATCACCATCCAGCTTGGAGCGTTAGACCGTAGCGTCACGTCAAACATCAAAAGCACTCTTAAGCTTCTCAACGTCCAAGAAAGCCCTTTGTCCGGCTCTGGAAACTTTTCGGAGGAGCAGAAGACTATTCCCAACATCCTTGCCGATTACGTCTCTCTCCTCCTCAGCCCAGTGATGCAGAGGAATCTCAGGGACTTTGCGGCCCAAGCACACCTCGAAGACTTTACAACATTCCCAGAGAGCAGCCGCGCCGTCCACAAGCTCTGTGCCGACTTCAGTAAGTTCACTTTCGATACCGTCTTCGCGGAAGTTCAGAGCCACTTCAACACCGTGCCGTCCCTCAAGGTGTGGGCCCTGGAAAATCCGGGAGGTGCCATTGCTAGGGATTTACCAGCATTCAGCATTTCTCCACTGGAGTACATAACCCAGATCGGGCAGTACCTACTAACCATCCCGCAGCACATTGAACCCTTCATCGTAGAAGAAAATGAAGCACTGGCAATGGCCCTAAAGTACAGCAACCTGCCCCATGTCATAGAGAGCACGAGCACGGACCACGTTGCCGACTACTTGCTTGGCTGCGTCGCTCAGGCCACCATGTACACCTATCTGGACACCGTCATGCAGATTGACCGACTTACGCAACAAGCCTCCGCACAGTTGGCAACGGACATCGGCTACCTGTGCAACGTCCTCGATGACCTCGGCTTGCCACCGCTCGAGAATCTGCAGCAGCTTGCAGCGTTGCTGAAAAGTCCACCTCAGGAGTTTGCGGCTGTGGCTGTCGGGAAGCCAAGCCAGCTGGTTCAGACGGTTAGAATGATGCGAGGAATACGCTGAAGACGTCTGGCCTGTCCCGTGGCTACTGGAAGTGCTGGCTGTAGCTTGGAATCTTCCGAGTATTTAGGTGGGATTTGTTCAGATGTGACTGTGTGTATAAAACAGCTGGAGCTGTTAAAGGGATACTCCACCGATTTTCTGAGCTACCTCAACTAACTATATTTTCTGACTCCCCGGCCTTTAGCCTTTCCGTTATGCTATTTAGCATCGCAAAATTCGTAATAGGTATTGTGAAATCCGCAAATGAAAATGGTGCAAAAACCAATATTTAAATATTCGCGCACTTTTCAGTGCCGTGACGTCAGTGGCAGGCAGGCTTGCCAGTCGAGCAAGTAGTCTAAAAATAGAATATGCCAATCATTTGCTCCGCGCTGGAGCGCGGATACGGGAGCGAGCTTCCAAAGCACTCATTTGACACCAAGAAACTGCTTCAAATCTGTTGGGAACAACTTCTGTAGTCCAAAAAGTTAACCTCTGCCTTCCACTGACGTCACTTTGTTGTTGTTGCCAGTAGAGACTTTCAGTTTGAAAAACATGGTGAAGACCAAAACTGCAAATTCAATAACTTCGCGAAAAAACAATATTTTTTTGACCTAATATTTGGGATACTATTTTAGCAATGTTTGTTGGTTAGTTTAGCAAAATTTCAAGCAAATCGGAGACAATGAAAAAACCGGTGGAGTACCCCTTAAAAAACATCATCTGTTTGTTAAACTCATTGTGGGGCGAGCCTTTACACACGCACCCGTGGGCTGCAGTTACTGAAATACCGGTCTGTGAAATTTGTATGTCAGTAACTACAGCCTTCCAGTGCATCGTATGGGCATATCTGTGCTTTCTTAAAAGGAAGCTGAACCACTTTTCAAGAAATGAGTTGGGAGTGGTTTCTTTTTTCTTTTGTCCCATGAATTTGGTTATTGCACTAGGGCAGAAGTAAACATAAAACCACATTTATTATTAAAAATACATGTAGCAATTGCCGAAGGGCATGAGGCGATTCTCTCTGCTGCTTGTTGTCTGCTCAAAATATTGTGACGTCATCGTCGGCATACCCGAGCCAACTTGGTGGCCAGCGAGGGTCGTCTGACCCCACCAATGACATAATTTCTGCTAGATTTTCTGTCTGCTCTCGTGCCCTCCTACGCCCGACACGGCTCAACGGGCGGGACTACGTAAAAATTTGTTTGCAATTGCAACGCTCCTACCAATAAGGTTAAAAGAAAACTTTACGCATAATATTTAAGGTGCCCACTTTAGAACTTCTGTCGTTTTCTTTCGAATTTAAGAACCTCTTTAGGAGGTCCCTTTAAAGCACCAATGATATATTCCTGCACAATGTGCTGCATTGCACAAGAAAGATCTGGCATTTCAGAATGGCCGAGGCAATTTTTATTTCTAATGTGGCTCGCCTTCGAAAGAAAAATGGTAAGAACCGAACCTGCACCTGAAAAGATTTTGACGCTAGACAACAAAAAACGGCCAATTCACCCTCCTCAGAAAGTTCAGATTGTGCAAGCCTGTCAGGTAGAAACTAGACCCCTCCATTTATAGCTGCAAAGAAAAACAATACAATACAACGGTGTTGACTATGCAGCTAAAAAAAAAGATCCACTCTCCTTAAAGGGCCCCCGAGAAGAGAAAAAAAGTTTTATTTAAGTAGTCTGGTTGGGACATGCATGTCAAAAAACTAATTTTATGCGAAAAAAGAAATTTTTGAGTTTTTTTGGGCGCGAGACATGATTAAAGAAATTTTTGAGTTTTTTAGGGCGCGAGACTTGATTAAGTTGGTAGTCACCTCCATTCCACTTGCTTTCTCTCGGCATTTCGGACATTTGGAGGAGAAGTGGATTGACTTTGCCTTCCCGTTGAGGTGGAAAGAGCGAAAGACCATCTCATTAAGGTTGGAAGAGTGAATGACCATTCCGTGACGTCATGGACTTTGCGCGAAGAATTTCAAATAAATCTTGCGCCTCAATATTGCTACAAAAAAAAAAAAAAAGTGTTGCGCAAAATATATTTATTTTGACACGCATCTTTAAAAAAAAAAGATTCCTTTTCAGAGGCCTTTTAAACATGTCAGCATATTCTGTAAAAACCTCATGAGGCACCTCGGACTTCGGCGCACATATGTGTGTGCACAATCAAAGATACGGACGAAACGCGCAAATTATTAATTATTTTATTTTTGATTAGATGTGACCGCACAACAGGTCCACGAAATTGCCAAACGAGCCGTGGTCAAACATACGGTGGGACATATGGTTTGTGAGACACAACACAGCGTTGCAAGGATGTCGTCGGAATTCTGGGGACGCGCTAGCGGGGCTCTTCGTGGGAAAGCGAACGCCTGCACGGGAGCAGCAACGGTCGCGGCAGACCCCACGTCGGCCCGGCTCGCAGACACAGTCTTGACCTTAGACGAGGCACGTAGCCTACAAGTGATCTTCACGTGCGTGACTAGAAAGAACCTTATCACACTGAAAACTGCAACACTGAGACCTTCTCAACCCATATCACTAGCTCCGCGAGCAGCCATAAAAACCCAGCTCCTCTCACACCTTGCGGATCCAGAAAAAGAAAGGCGATGATGCCCTAAGCTTTGGAATCACCGAGGGAAAGCCATTTAGTTCATTGGAGAACAAACTCTTAAAAAGTAGAACCTCGGCCGTACGTCCGACACCCTGGGAGTTTTTAACCGAAATCCGATATACTCTCGTCTCTAAAACAAACCAGGCAAACACCTCCGAGCCCTTGTCCCGTACTGAGCATAGCTATACTTTCTTTATTTCGGCGGAAACGCAATAAAACCCATTTAATGAATAAGTTAAAAAACGTTCAATCTCCCGACCAGCGAGACTTCACCTTATGTACAAGTGGGCCAGTTCGTTCCATTCCCTCCAGGGACCCCCGACGGACGCAGAAGACGCTGGCAATTGCCTATGGGGCAGTCCTCTCCTCTCTACAACTTATCCCATTCTGTACCATTCAAGCCGTTACTCCGCTGTACATATGGAAAGAGAAAAAAAGTACTGCAACTTAAATTAATCGAACACACATGCATACACGGGCTGTACAATTCGCCCTTCGTCGGGGAAAAGCGGTTTCGACGTTCTTTTCGAGCAGGCGACGGTCCTCTAGGCAGCGGTTTGGGAAGGCCGAAAGAGGGAGAGATCTTGGGCAGACGGGTCAAGTCACTCCTCTAGAGTTTCCCTGGAGGCGTCCGACGGGACGGAATCCACGGAGGACGAAGGTGTCGGGGGACTGAAGTGGGACCACAGCGACGACACCACGGACTTGGCAGACGTCAGCGCCCCTCCTGTGAAGGTGGGAATGGAGGCGGGTGGTACCTTCCGAAATGTCCGGCTCGTGGCGGTGCTTGCTCGCTGAGCGGAACAAGATGTACAATCGTGTTTATATTTATCTAAGCCAACGGTTCTCGAATTTTCAATTTGGAGGTATCCAGGGAACCTTAATGGTCTAGGCACTGGCGGAATAAAGCGGTGCAGAAGCCTACATATCTCGTAAACATTAATGCAGGTGCTAGGGAGCGTTTCACACATAGTTGTGCACCTATAGATGACTCGCATCTTCTAAAATGGTGCTTAAACTGCAAGAACACTTCATTTAGGGACAAAGGAATTTTGAGAGCTTGGGCAAATTGGGTGGCTACCCTGTGGAACCCTTGGGTTCCGAAGAACAGGGTTTGAGAACTCGTGAACTAGGTGATGATGAAGAAGGTACAAAAGTGAGCATGGTAAGTGGCCTGTTCTTTTTTATCTCTTAAACAAAATGCGACGAGGATTCTCAAGTTGTCAAAAACTGGTCGACAAGTTTAGTACCGATGGATCGAGGGCAGTGCTTGGATGCTTACCGACCACCTTGCCCGTCGTTTGGGCCACGACACGTCCCGTGGACACCACAGCCTGGTTGATCTTGCGGCCCCTCTCCGAGCTCTGGATGGAGCTTTAGAGGAGAAAAAGGTTCCAGATTCTGTACCTGGCATCAACCATTTTGGGCTACGTTGTCAAGGCTAGCATTGCTTGCATAGAGCTGCAGCCCTGCACATTACGAGAGCATGTGGATTCGTCTTGCGCTTCATTTGTACACACTCTCGTGCGAAGAAGATGTCAAACTTAGCCATGGGCTCGTGGAAGTTTTTTCGACGGTGTTGAAGCCAGGGTGTCGAACCGGAACCGAACCGAACCGAAAACCGGAACAGAACCGTTATTTTTAGCCGAACCGGAACTGAACCGAACCGAAATCTTCGCCGCCATCTTGGAACTGAACCGGAACCGAACCAAAAAAAACATAACGGTAAGCGGTTCAAAACGGTTCAAGGTAATATTTTTTTTTCTTCTTTGCTAGTATCACAAAATGAACACATGGGAATAAACAATTGGCGGCTGTATTTCTATCTGTTGATCGAATCGTCATATACATAATTGCAACGTATGATAAATTGTGGGTTTTCATGGCGCCTTTGTTGGCACTATGATTAACCATGTGTCAAGTTGTCACGTGACGTCATGGTGTCAATACATGTTGTCAAGTAATGTCACGTGGCCTCGTGACGTCACGTAACTCACTGCGTTAAATCGATGTAATTTGAGGAAGTCACTAGATGTATTAACCTTGTTGACAGCATGACGCAACATGACATCACGATTTCGCACCGAGAGTCACGTGACACCGTGACGTAAGCGATTGTCATAACCCCTAGTCGAGTGCTCGGGTTCATGACAATCAACATGGCCAAACAATCGGGTATCGGCTCATGTCAATTAGATATGATAATCAATCGCCCAACACTAGCAATATCTGAAGCTCAGCCCAAGCTTTTGCTTTGCAAACCCTTGCAGCCTAGGGCATGACTGTGATGAACACTGGCGGTATATAATTATGGTCAGATCACGTGGCCGCTTGTTCAAATTGCGAGTTGAGGAGATATCGACAGCTGTCTCTGTCCTTTATTTTTTCTGCATCTGTTATTAGGGGAAAACTAATGGATGTTTCCGCAACCTATCAACGTCACGGGTTATTTCTTAACACTATTTATTGAAAGTACAAAAAAAAATGTTGCAAGACATATTTTACAATATTGAGGCATTGAAACACTTTTTCGTTGTTGCTGAAGTATATCCGAAAGATGTCCCTGAGAATAGAAGTTTTGAAATGACTAAATGCGACCTATTAATATGACGTTACATAGAACTACACGTGTGTACGGAAGGAATATCTAAAAAAAGAAGATATTTTAGTGACGTGAGAGGAGCAGCCGAACGTTGGCAGTCGCTGTAAGTCTCACACGAGCGTCGTTCTCAAGTTATTGCCCAAGTTTCGACCCCCTCTGTATTTTGCTTAAAAGAGCTATAGAAATATTTCTATACATTACTAAATACTACTCAGGATCAGTCCCGAACGTTAATAACTGATTGAGCTTGGCTTTGCTCTTTTTTCTAGGCAATGGTAGTCGCCGAAAAAATTAGAGAAATATGAGCATCGTTCATCCCCTCAACTCGGAGCCAGAAGCGGCCACGTGGCCTGGTGCCTGTCTTATGCCGCCAACGTTAATCATACCCCCGCGCTGGAGTTTTAAAGGAAGAAAACGCGTGCTGAAGCTCCAGGCATTGTTAGAGTTCGGCTATTCTCATCACCACAGTGGTTGGACACGAGCCACTACCCAAGTGTCCGCCGAGGCATTGATTGTTACGAGCCGATGTACGGTGCTCACGCAGTTCTCCTGCCCAAACCATGAGTCGCGCTCGACTGTCGACAAGCGGGTGGTTTTGATCCCACAATTACGACATCAATCTTTGAGAAGGCAAGACTAAAAGAAATAGTCTCGTTCAATCCTCGCAATTTCACCGCGACAAAGAAGCTTCTGAATCAGTGGCGCCCTTTGCGAGTACACTTGGACCAGGGGACCAGTATACCTCGGAAAAGTCATGGACGTTCCAACCCGATATCGTTTCATGACGCCTTTAAACTTCACGGGGTGCAAAATAAAAGCAATGAAAGGTTGCGGTTAACAAGTGTCAAATAAAATTGTCGAATTAACAGACACAAACGAAGGAGGCATTTCCTCAGGAATACTTTCAGCTTTTGCACTCTGGTGAAGAAGGAAGGCCAGAAATGCTGTACTATGGTGGGGATGAAGTAATGACCGGCCGCAAGTCGGCAAGCCAGACTGGAAAGGCTGGAGGGGTTGCCGCCATTTATGAGCGACGGTGGCAACCAAACAACTGGCAAGCCGGCTGTCTGGTTGCCGTCGCCATTTATAGATGGCGGTAACGCATGACTAGCCCTTAACAGCACCGCTGTATAAAGAAGTGCGTCTGTGTGTGGGGCCCGGGGGGGGGGGGGGGGGGGGGGGTAGTTTTAGAAACATACTGTGTTGTAAAGGTTCTTCTTCCCTGCATCTTTGGCGCAGACCAAAAAGTGTGATCCCGGAAACTACTTTGATTGGAAAAGCGCTCTTGCCAAAAAGCATGTTTTTGTCGTGCCAGACGCTGGCGCCGTTCCTCACGACGATGCACTAAGAATAATAATACTAGCCTTTCAAATACTTTGCTTTCACTGAGCTTGCACCTCCTGCAGCGTGCCTTTTGCACCGTCGAATTCAACTTTCTCAGCAAGAAGGAATCAGAATGACTACCAGCCTGTAGTGTGATAACGTCACGTGCATACCATGCTAAATAGTTCAGCTTTCTGGTGAAATATGATGTTCGCAACACTAGCCATAGATGTCCTAATTGTAAATTTGTGAAGTATTTATAGCAGTCTCGCGATGAGATATGGCAGCCTAGAGAAATGTTAGAATGCATGACTATTCTAGCATAGTGCTGTAAAGTGAGGGCCCAAAACAAGTGCAGGTAAAACCGAATATAACATTCGCCTCCCGAGGCAGTATTTCGGAAGTTTCGAGCTCATGCAAGCTGATGAAATGTAATATACTAAGATTTCAAGAATCTTTGACTGTCCTTCGCGCTATATATTTATGTAAAATCATGAATATCATTGCGTGCACCTTTACGCATCTCTTTTTGCAGTAAGGCGTTCTGGAAGGGATTATTTGAAAAACATAACATTAATTATATATCTTTTTGAACATTTCGTGTATTTGACTTCCATTTCATCATGTGAGCATAGAGTCCTTTTTAGCGTACCCTGCAACGCGATGTTTCACACTGCAATCAGCAAACAGAAAAACGCTTTTACGTAGACTCCACAGCTCGCGTAGTTTCGAGTATCGTCCTTCCGCGTCGGTCCCAAGCGGTTATGTGAACTTTATAAAGTAAATTTTTTTTTTATCAATATAAAATATATTTAATTACTAATTAAATATTTGGCAACATAAATAGAGGGCCGACCACTCTAAAGCAATGCCCCCTAAATTATTTGAAAGCGGTTCTGCCAATCTTTTCCGGCGTTTTTATCCTCGACAGGCAAGTGGTATGGGACGGCCTTACATACATTTCTGATTTTCAAGCTAAGTTAAATAACTATGTGCTCCTCGCACATATAACTTCTCAAACATATAGAAGTCTGTTATTGTCTTTTTTATCTGGTGAACATTAGTTTTATGTGCCTGTGGGCTGGACGAAAAGAAAGTAAACAGGGGCGCGCGGTGGAACTATGATGATTACGCACGCAAACCGTTAGAAAGTGTCCAATTAAGTAGCTGCCTTGTTGAGTAGAACGTGAAATACTACTTCGTATTACTAAACAAAAAAGAATTTTGAAGGACGCTTAAGCTTCACTTTTAAAAGTGGAACGCGATCGCGTCAACGGGCCTCGTTTGCATTGCATTCTCATTTGCCGCGCAAGCGTGCCTCGCGTGGTCTATTGAAAAGCGTCTGACTCGCAACTAAAGGGTTGTGGGTTCGAATCCTGCCTAAAATATTTAATTTTTTCTTTAAGGCAAAGGAATTACTTTCAAAAGTGAAATCACTTGAAACATACGGTGACCTTTATTTTGCATTACATATCATGTTTTAATCACCCTCATTCCACGCGTGATGTCACGTTTCACGTAAGCATTGGGGGTTGTTTGAAATTCTTGCGCTAAGGTATGTAGCTCTGACGTCATGAACCTATCGACCAATCAGGATTTTCCAGTCACGCCACCGACATCGGTTTTTCTGCGACATGAGCTCGTTAACGCTATTGTGTTAAAATCATCCATTAGCAAGGGTGATGCTCATTTGCAAATTAAATTGTCCGGCATCTTGTCAACAACTAACCTCAACAGCCAGGCTATGCCAGCTTATTCTGTATAAGAAAATGTTCACTTGGGAAAGCGCTATTTTGGGCCAGATTCGATCCGAGTGCGAAGGTGCGTATATACTTGAGTGAACAATTGCAATTACTCCTTGCTCCATGATTAGTCGCATGCGTGCGGTGCTGAGTGTAAACAATGTTTGGTTAGAACAACAGGCATTTGGATTGCCGCTCGGTGTTTCTATAAAAGATAGACTGAAAGGAGTTATCCTAAAACTTTGTTACATTTCGAAAATTTCATTGCTTTTAGCTCAGTTAGGTCGTCATCATATATATATATATATATATATATATATATTGTGAAGTGTATTTCGTAAACCTTATTTCATGATATATGGCCACGAGGTGCATGCTCATTTCATATTTTATGTGATGTAATTAATTCCTTAGTTCAATGACACAATTTCACTTTTAATACTGACACACAAAGTTGTACCAATCACGGGTATTTTAGACGACCTACCACACTTCGCGACAACATTTTATATTGTGTAAATAGATCAGCTTGAACTTTAGAATTTTACTTTAACACGAAGAAAGGACAAGAAAATACTGTGTAGTTCTAAATTAGAAGCTGATCTATATACAGGTATGTACCAACTAGCTCAACTCTTCACTCTTGTACTTAAACATTTTGATTCAGGCAAAATATATTTTACTCGTAAACAAATAGATATTGAGTCGTATGAACACGACGTTGTGTACGTTAATGTAGTATTTCTTCTACTCTTGCGTCAAAATTAAATAACTGAATTTAATATTTTTGGTACCTAAGAACAAAAGTAAATTGCACGGACGATCGAAGAAACTATATAGTTAATCGTTTCACAACGGAAATAATGTATAGTGCCAAAACAACGCGGAAAATATGTTCTCAATTTAGCGGTTCAAACCGGCTCGAACCGGTTTGAACCGTTATTTTTGGCGCCCCGGAACTGAACCGGAATTGAACCGAAAGCCGTAAACCCGAACCGGAACCGAACCAATAAAAATTTCGGTTCGACACCCTGGTTGAAGCACTGTGGAAACTACTCTAGCCTTGACAACGCAACACAAAATAGTTTATGCCGAGCATAGGGTTTAGTCTAGGAGTGCAGAAAATTGAACGACCAGAGACATCAGCATAGAAATGAAACACGTTTACAAATCTCTCTAATGCGAAATTAGAGCGCAGCTTTTGAGGAGGAGGAGGGAAGGGTATGCACCTCCTCCTCCTCCAATTCAGACGTCGCATAACTTGGTGTCGTGTCACCTATGTTTCTCCACTAGATTTAGCGGGCAAATTGATGCCACGTGACCTCAACACCAATTCAACTCCCCCGCTAAATTTAGCGGGGAACTGAATTGGTGTTGAGGTCATGTGGCGTCAATTTTCCCGCTAAGCGCGGTTACACGAAAAGGCGCGCCTAAGAGCTGCGCTCTAAAAATAACCAATTCAAAATGTGCCTCTTACTGTGAAAATTAGGCGACACCAAAACACCGCTTTTCACCACAAAATGAATTGGATTAAACTACGACTAAACTAATTTATTTCCCTCGGGACAGACAGGATTAGAAGAAGGCTTTTTGGTGTGACCCACACAAAGACGACACATCGACAGCTTACTAAAGGGATGAGTGCCTGTGAAACTGAAGACAAGCACCTGGTCCTTAACTTGCTTTTAATAATGAGAAATGATGCAGGCAAACTGTAGTACCTGTATGCATGTACGATAGAGGTGTGTGTGTGCATGTAATAGCCACATCCCAACATTATGTTCAAACAAAATAGAAAAAAAAAAATCACTCCCTTTTTTTATAGTGGTTGCATTAATAAGTACTTTTACAGAGGTTACAAGCAACACAAATGCATGAATCTGCATGTCCAGGTTCCCTATTGTCCCATTTCCCTGCGGCACAACAGTGCATGAAAGCGGGCCTTTGCCCAATGGGGGCAAAGGCCCACTTCAGTGACCAAGAAAACTGGGAAAATCAGAACGTAAACTTTGACCGACACACAAGCAAGGAAACATAGTTCACTGGGAAAGAAATCAACTTACTGGGCGATCCGCAGCTTCATGTCAGCCACCGACAACTGTCCCCGGTAAAAATGTCTGAGGGGGGAAAGAACAAAACAAACGTCAATCTTGCGCTAGAGTCATTTCGGTCATTCCTTCCAACTGCTGCAGGTGGCAGCGAGCATGGGAACGCGATCAATGGTGCTTGTGGGAACCCTCACCCAGTGGGTATGTCCTTGAGGCAGGGATGTGCAACACTGTTCCAGATCTTGAAGTTGTGCGTCGCTTTCCACGCGCTCAGGAAGGCCGTGTTGAACGCCTCTTGATCCTTGCTGTTGCTTCCTTCTGGATGGGGCAGGCACGCCTCGTGAATGAACTCGAAGGAAAGAGGTTCTTGGGAGACCGAAAAAAGCTATCACTGCAAATTCCAACTAAAAATTGACCCACCGCTAGTAGAACAGCCACAGTGAAATATATCACTTGAACAAACTGCTCAGGTAAATAAACTTTCCGTAGCATACCGTGCATCCACCCATTCCACACTAAGCGCCCATTCCCAAATTTGTAAGATCTGAGAAAATACGCACAGTGTATTCATATGTAAAATTGATGACTGGACAAGCGCCTATCCTCCATTTTTCACTGATTATCTCTCAATTTTGAGTGGGCGCTTGCCCGGTATTTTACGGTATGTAAAATTTCCCCTACAAAACCCCATTCAGTTGAGTAAACCTTCACTTAACCTCTTCTTCGAGGTCCCTCAAAGTGTGTTCCAAGTGGTATTTCAGTGCACTGTAAAATTTGGAACAGTCTTGGGAGATGTGTCGTTGAGTTTGTATGAATTTATGAGAGCATGCAATGAACTTTTAACCACCGAGTATGCAAGTTTAATTTCTTTAGCAGACCGATCTCGCCGGCACTCACCTTCGAGTTGTGCTGTCCTCAGCAGGCTGACTAGATAGATTTTAAACTGGGCCCTGAGCCACTCCTCGCCACCTTGCCAGCCTGCAGAGAGAAAACCCCAGAAGTCATCGCCCAACTAAAGTGACAAACACCATTGTTGATACGATGGTCATTGTTATTAAAGGGGCCCTGCAAGAACTTTTTTACTGGTTTTTAATTTGCACTGAACCTGAGCGCACTCAACGTAGAAACCTAGTGAAACTTTTCTTTTCTCGAAATTACCTTTATTTTAAAAGTTATAGGCAAATTAAAATTGCAAGAACAAGCAAAAAATAACCTCCCTCATGACGTCCTTGGTTGCTTGAGAGTGGCCATGAACTAGAGGAGGGGTAGTGAGCTCATCGAGCGCTCACGGCTGCCGCACTCCGTGTCGGCGGCGCGAGATGGCGCCACTAAAGCATGTTCTGGATAGGCTGTATGCAGCGGGCAGCCAGAGCAGCTCTCATTGCATTTGCTGCGCGATTAAATACTAATTCCCCATGACACTTCATTGGCCACAAACGACAGCAAACACGGGGTAAAAATCAGTTCAAAATGGGAGCCACTTGGCGCTGCCATACCGCGAAACGGCCGAACCACAAGACAAAGCTTCTTGCCGAATGCCTTCGAAACGCTCGGAGCCGGTCGGATCCTCCTGTCCATACAACCGCAGCGCCGCCACGTACATCCGGGACCTTTCCGTGTTCGCGCTTGATGCCACTACTCCTTTCTGGTATGCGCCGCCTTTTCCATTGTTTGGTGGCGGGTATGTCGACGGGTCATTTCTTGTTTATGAACTGCATTTTTTTCTTTTCTGATCTAAAATACTGAACAAAAAATACTTTTATAAATAATTGAAACTGTTTGCGCCACTTATATTTTGTATTTCGACTTAAAAGGAGCTTTTAGCGGCTCTGACCGGTAGTAAGCCCAGGACCAAAGACGTCACATTTTGCGCGCTTTCGGTAACGCGGGTCGCCCTCGTCGGTGGAGGAGGTTTTCAAGTCGTCCGGTTAAAATATGACACACTAATATTCAGTTATTCTCTCCGTTCTTGCTGGCTTATCCGAACCCCAAGAGACGTGGAAACCGGAAAAAAGGTAGACGCTTAAATATGATTGCAGGGCCCCTTTAACCGCCAACCAGCAAAATCTAAAAAAAGAAAATTTAACACTGTTTTGAGGCCCAAATTTGCTATATTCAAATAGACAAGCTGTGTAACTGTTAAGACCAGCAGAATCCGCCACTCACACGTGGTGTCCAGAAAGATGTCCTTGCTGTCGTCGAGCACATTCTTGACCAGGTAGTCTGCAAAGCGGAGGTCCTCCATGGTCAGGTACAGCTGCCGGCGCAAGTCGTTGTCCAGGATGTTGATCTTGCATTCGTCCACCTGTCATGGAAGGCGACAGTTGCAGGTTCCCGCTTTTTTGGAAAATCGTCAAGTGGCAACAAGCAACTGGTTCATTGCACGGCAAGGAGTACAGAGAATTTGCTTAAAAAAAAGAACACACTATGCTTAATCAATTTCTTTGAAATTCATTTAGATTTATGACCACACCTGCAATATTTATTTATTGATCATACTCTCAGGGCCCGAATGCATTATAGAGGGGGAGAGCAGGTACAAAATGATGGGAGGAAAAAACAGACAAATTAGCGATACTAAATATGTAACAAATAAACAATCAAACAGATTGTGGATCATTGGAAAAAATTGTTATAATGATAGCATTTCGAAATAAATTAGGGTCAGTGATGGTAGCAATGAAACCGGGGAGGTGGTTTTATTTTGTGCTGTGCAAGGAAGAAATGATGAGTGAAATGCAGTTGTTAGTGAGCTTGGGACTCCAACTTTATACCGATGATCAACAAGGGTCGAAATGTAAAAGGGGAGAGTTATCATTTGATCGTGTAAGATGGGATTATGACAATAAACTTTGTGAAATAAACAAAAATGGGAAATTTTATGGTGCAGAGAGAGATAGTAAAGATAAACTAATTTTCAACGATGTGACACTAGCGGTGCGATGATAGTTCGATAGAATGAAACGGGCTGAGCAATTTCAGATAGACTCTAGTGCCACGATGAGGGTATCGTGACCCCGATCCCAGATAGGGACTGCATATTCCAGCTTTGGTCTGAGGAATGTTTTATAATTTAACCAATTGAAGTGAAACGGGTGCCAATGAGAAGTTACGTTTTATGTAGCCCAACGTGCAGTTAACACGAGAAGTGATATGCTCAATGCAGCGTTTCCATGAAAGGTTAGCAGTTAAGTGAACACCGAGATATTTGTAAGATAATACTTGTTCCAGAGAGTTGCCATCAAGGTAATAACAAGGACCGTCATTAAGTTTACGGGACACTCTCGTGCGTTTACATTTATTAGTGTTTAGATTCATCAGCCACAACTCACACCAAAGAGAGACAGAGTTAATGTCGGATTGAAGTGCAAACGAATCAGAAATATCTTGAATTTCACGGTAAATTTCACAATTATCGGCAAAGAGACAAATAGACAAAGACATATTGATAGGCAAATCATTAATATAAATGAAAAATAGTAAGGGGTCTAACAGTGACCCTGAGGAACGCTAGAACTAACGGACACAAGTAGAGACATGCTATTATTGACTGCAACACATTACGAACGGTTAGTCAGAAAAGATTGGATCCATGCAAGAACATCAGGGTCGACGTTAAGTCTAGCCAGCTTTAGTAGCAAAAGCTTGTGACACACCTTATCGAGTGCTTTAGCAAAGTCTAGAAAAGTGCAGTCTACCTGGGAGCCTTGGCCAACGACAGAATGAATGTCACGGGTTGAAGCTACGAGCCGAGTTTCACATGACAATTATTTACGAAGTACGTGTTGCGCTGTGGTGAAGAAATAATTAGTCTCTAAAAAGCTCACGCAGTGGGAATAAATAATGTGCTCGAGAAGTTTACATGGGATGTTTGTTAATGAGATGGGATGGTGGGGAGAATGTTTATGCTGCGCTCTCCTAGTTTTCTTCAAAAATGCGGGAAGTGCTCTTCTCTTTTCTTAAAATTGAAGGTCAGGGAGCAACAGATAAACTAAACAACTGACTAGCTGGACGTCTGTCCATGTACAGAACGAGCAGGAACTACGCAATGATTTGAACTACAGAGCAAAAGATGGGAGATCTATGCATGCACGAAGCTAAGACATGAGTCAAGTGGCAACGATATTTCAGTTAGCTTAGCGAGGTCAAGGCAGCATTTAGACCCAGTGAATGTACACAGAGCACAGCACTCCGTGACGTTCGCGTGACCAAAAGTACCGAGCCAATCAATGTCAACCGTGTTTGTGCAAAAAAAAAAAAAAAAAAAGTCTGCAAAACAGATTTGCACGGGACCTTTGCACAGCTGGCAAACCACTACACGTATGAATGTGGAGAGCGTGTTGGCTTCTGTTAGGGTTTTCATATCAAGCGGGTGGTATACTGGTCTGTAAAAGGAGAATGCCAATTCTTTTAGCTGCTCTTAAGCAGGCTCCTCCAGATTCGGTCATTTCGGTATGGTTCGACTGCACAAGGCCATTACCATATTGCAGTCGTCGATTTCAGCACGATCGTAAAATAAAGTTTAGGTGCTCTGGCACTCTGGGAATGGCACATGGGAGATGTCTATGACTGGTGCGCTTACCGCATCCCAAAAAGTGGTCCCTCCACTTACACCCGTGACGACGGCGGCACTAGCACTCGCTCATACTTTTTGCCGGGACTTCTACTAGCACCAAACACCAAGATCGTGACACCCGGCGGCATGAAAACTTCGGCTTTCGCAACATCGTTTGTTGCTGCCTCAGGACCACTTTCGATGCAGGGACGGAACGGGAAGCCAGAGACACCGGTCGGAAGTAGTGTTCCAGGCACCATACTCGGGGCGACGTTCGGCAGCTTCGGCGACACATGGACTCACCTCCACGATAACGTCAAAGAGGTGCTTTTTCTGCTTGAAGAGGTCGTTGGTGGCACCGACCACACAGCTCCGGACGCTGATGTCACTCAGCAGGTCGATGATGGGCAGGGACACGTATGGCAGGCACAGGGAACCCTGAAAAAAAAAAAAAAACGACCGCATCTCCACGTGGTGAATGATGTTGACTGGGGCGAAGCTCTGGTGGTGCTGACGATACTGATTTTGTTCATAGGTAGTGCTGATGGTGCTGAGTTTTTTAGGGGCGAAGCTCCTTAGGGTCTAGCCTTGTCTGTCCGGTGTCCGTGCCATCCCATCTGTCTTCTTAAAAAAAATAACAAATGTTTGCACAGTCGACAGGATTCGAACCTGTGCGGGGAGACCCCAATGGATTTCTAGTCCATCGCCTTAACCACTCGGCCACGACTGCCGGACGAGTAGGGGGCTCTGGGATGTGGTAGTAACTCAAGAGCTGGGGTTTCTGTCATGGATGAAACGTTGCATGTAGCCACTCGACGTCTATACAGGAGAGGGCGCTGCGGTCAAATGCGTATATAATCGCGTTAAACTTTCCATGCATTGGCTCAACGTTTATAGACGAGAGGGCGCTGCGGTCAAATGCTCAAATGGGTATATAACTATGTTCCATACCACACATTCTCTTTCTGACATGGATGAAAACGAACGTCATCAGCACCACCAGAGCTTCGCCCCAATCAACATCATTCACCACGTGGAGATGCGGTCATTTTTTTATTGCTCATAGGTAGTGCTGAGTTCCGGGTTGGGCTGGTATGGAATGTATGGTATGGAACGTGGTTAGGTGCCCGACGCAAACTCTCCTGCAGAGCTAGGCACTGCTCCCATAACCGTACAAAATGGGGGTCAATAAACTGCATTCTCCTATTACCGCCACCTTTTTTTAGTGAAACCTTATTTGTAAATGCTCACTCGCAAGATGTGAGGCAATCGGAGGGTTTTGGGAGCCTGGAAGAACAATTGCAACGCTAAAAAACGAAAGCCTCAATCCAACGAAGTTCACAATTTAACAAAATTTTTGGCTCAAAAGATGACTTAGGTAAATCGAGGTTCAACTGCATAGCCATGTTTCGACACGGCAACCGTCACAAGAAAACAATCTATATTATTAAAAAAAAAAAAAAAAGAAGAGGGAAGTTATTTTTCTTTTTACAAAGAAATATAAATTTTGAGTTGTGAGTCAACACCTCTTTAACCCGCATTCCTTTTTTTTTTTTTTTGTCCAGTTTTTCTGAGTGCCGTTCCCCATTACGAAAGTACAAAGCCCGCACTGGGGTTGGAACCACCAAAGGGCATTCCGGCTGTTCTCTCCTCGTCGGTGGCTACGGTCCAAGAGTATGGCCTCACCCACCTTGGTGAAGACGGGGAGGGGCAGGCCGCACTCCTCGTTGGTCAGGGCCAGCACCTTGGGGATGCTCCGCAGCAGGAGGTCTTCCTGCTCCCGGTTGGCCGCCGTCCCGTTGCCCTCCCCCAGGTGGAGCGTCACAAGCCCCGCATCCCCGTCCTCGGGGGTCGTCGCGCCGTCCAGCTCAGAGAAGGGTTCCCGCTCTTCGGGGCCCGGTCCCCCGACGGCCGTCGTCGCAACGCCGCCGACACCGATTCCAGCCAGAGGGGAGTCCTGCGCGCCAAGTGCCACTGCGGGATTACGCTCCCGATCGTGGAGGTCAGAAACTTCTGGAGGCGATGTGAGGCCACCAGAGGTGCAGCCAGAAGTGTGGAAAAACACGCGCCCGATGATGACCAAAACCGAGAGGGTGACCCAAACAGCTGTTGGCTCCGAGTCAGCTCTCCTTTATGTCCAACAGCATCTCTTGGTTTTGGCCATCCTTGGGTGCATGTTCCTCCACACTTCTGGCTTCTCCTCTTGTGGCCTCAAGTCGCCTCCGAAAGCTTCCTACCTCCATGCTTATGACACATAGGTCCTGCGCGTCAAAGACTGCAGTGGGATGATGCTTCAAAGAACACCCTATGGAGTTTGGGGGGGGGGGGGTGTAGGTACTTGATGCCGCATTGGCCCTTTGAAGAGACAGCGTCATCATGGTCACTGACGGGACGTAAACGGCGGAGGGCTCTTCGATTGTCCCGTCTCCGGTGCAAGTTTCCCACCTTCGATAAACGCTAGCTCACGTACCCGCATTTGCTTACGACCGAGTTCTCGCAATCTCTTACGATGAGATGACACTCTGGCATGCCCGGCGACACCTTTGAGGTGGTCCTAGAAATGCATTTTGCTAGAGCGAAGGTTTTGTGGTCCATTTGCAAGAACCAATGTACCATCTAAGAAATGATCGTTTATAACTAAGGTTCCGCGTTTTTGTTATAATGAAAAACACCGAAAATTAACCCCCGAGGCAGTTTTATTTCAAATAAGTAAAACCGAAAAAAAAAAAAAAAAGATTTAAGCTAAAACTGTTCTTAAAAAAAAAAAAAAAACATATATATATCTCGTCGCAACTGATCTTAAGACATTGTAAGATGCTCGGCAGTAAGCGGTCACAAGCGTGTGAACCAGCCCTAACGCTTCGGCATCTCATGACCCCCCCCCCACAAGCATGCACGCGCAGCCAAAGCCTGGGTGGCAGGAAACGAGCATGCGCCGGCGGTGGAGCGTTCTAAAGAAATGCCCCACCATTCCCGTCACGTCGGCGACTGCAAATGCGATGACGCGGACCTCCGCGATACACAGCGTTGCCTTTCCGTGGTGCCACAATTCACCCGAGCCGGCAAAGATTATTATTAAATGCGTCGGCATTTATTGCCCCGGTGCGTGCAGTCGTTTTTCGTTGGGACGGTCGTGGTTTGGTTTGGACCGGTCTAGATCGGTTTTGTGAAGACGCCACATGGTGCACGGCTCCTGCCGTGCTCTTTCTCTTCGTTCGTTTGCCCGTTATGTCCCTTTTCCCTCCTATGAGAAGTAAGGAGTTTTCTGGCACGTTTCCAGTGACATGTCGCGGGAGCGGAAGAAAGCTGCAGCTGCTGCATTTGTAGCCGCCAACGCCCGGGAGAACGGACCATTGCAAGGTTGGAATTCCCATCCTTCGCCAAGTCGGAACACACGTGCTAAACGCCAACGCGTTTCGTCGAGGGTCGGCTTAGCGACGGTGGCGATTTCGGCATAGTGATTATGACCACAAATCGGTTTCGTAACGGGCTGCGGCGTAGTTTAGCCCAGAGGGGTGTGGCGAACTGGAGCATTTCAATTAGTAAAAACATTAAAAGATGAGGTCAACTGACTAAACAACATCACGAAGAAGAAAATATTTTTCGTTATGGGCAAAGCCTAGTTTACACGGAACCATTAACTGACACGGTGGACCGCTGTGGTGTTCACTTTGGCAAAATGAAGAGGAGAAAATGTGAGCCAATTTTGTTTTCCTTTTGCATCCGCCCAATTTTCTGTCGTAATAGACGGACCAATGCTCTTTGATGATTTTGAGAAAACTAAGGCTTAGCTGGATGTGCATCCATAGGAAAAAAAAACAGAATTTTCTTTTTTGTTTTAACACGGATAAACTCGCATTTTTCATACCTTCAAATTACAAAGCACCTATGGGCATTTCCATAGCAGATTGTAATGTGATACATTAAGAAACCGATTTATGTGGTCCGTTCGAATAGCCAACATGTCATCGGGTTCACACAGTAGATTGCTTGCTTCCTCTTTTGTGGGAAAGTCACGCTCAAGTCTGCATTTTGATTCAAAGTATCACAAAGTGACTATGATGACAACAAAAAAGATGATGCTAATAATCAAACTAAAATACACAAAAAAGCACTTGGATGACAGTCCCATACCGGGAAGGAAAAGTATGCGTTACAGAATGAATCATCGGGTTCTAATAGCCAAGCCCCTTCATAATCTAAATGGCAATGCGTCTATTTGATGCAATCTGTCTCGTTGTGCTCGTTGTAAATTGCAATATTTATGGCACTCTCAGAGGATATATTCTATTGATCCTATACAGTAGGCTCGCGATAATTCAAGCTCAGATCTTTCATACTTTTGGTTAATTCCAACAAATTTGAAAATTTTTGTTGTCCCACTATATTTGCAATGTATTTATAAGCCTCTTAATTCAAACGGCGTTTTCAACTAATTCATACGTTTTGTTCTCGCTGCCCCATTGAGCGTGCTTCTTACTGAGCACCCGTGCACTGCAGAGAAGGAACACCCTCAGAGCTCGCTTTCCTGGTTGTTGCTCGGTGAGAAGTGCACCCAAGGGGGCTAATAGTCCACAATAGACAGCTTTTTTGCTGGATGAAAAAATCTTAATTTTGTTTAAATGTGTTACGTGCTGTCTAAACAGTCTACAATTGACAACATTTTTGAGGGATAAATAAACTTATCTCATACATTTCACCAATGTTTCACGTGTAGCATACCTGCTTACGATTAGCAGGACTGCATAAAGAAAGTCATAAAATATCTGCTTTGTATGTGTAGCCATCCACATTACAAATCATACCTTCATCTCGCATCATATTTAGACGAATTTCTAATAGTTCAAACAAAATTTATGGCTTTCTGGAGTTTGAGTCAATGATATTCTATTGTTGAATCACAGTTCATGCAGTCCCATACCTTGGAAGCCAAGCTGTAGATGGCCGAAGGCAGCTTGCTCCAGATGGAGCCCACATTGCCGAAGGTTGTAGGGGTTCCCTTGTTCGAAGAGGGAGAGATGGGTGACCTGGCCACGTCCGAGTCCTCACGCTCCACAAATTCCAGCTTAGACCTGGAAACGTAACAGACGTGTTGAAAGTGAGCATTAGGAACAAAACCGCTCCAACCTGCCTTCCAAGTTGTCTCAAGAACAAACTAAGCACTCCTCCTTGTCGAGCTGGGCGCAGTAAAGTGAGAGTGACCTAGACTCGAAAGTATCCTTGCACAAAACATTGAACGTTATTGCTGAAAATTACTGCCACACCATACCAGTAGTGACTGCAAAAAAAGGAGCAGTCCTGTATGAATCCACACTGTAGTCAGAGCGACAGCTGTCGCACCTTATCAAGCCCTAATGTATCCTTATGCGGAGGAGCTATCGTCAAGGTCTGCTCGGAGAGTGACACACTCATCTATCACTATAAAACTCTCTATCATAGGGCACCTTTATTATCTATCTAAATAGATGATGTCATTTGACACCGTTATGTCATGCGACACCATAATATTATGACACATTATTTTTCCAGCCAAGGAAAAATCAGTTGCGTTCCAACTGTATTAGGGAATTTTTATTTATTTACTGATAGTACTGTCTCCTTCAGGAGAACTGTTTGAAGAGGAGCACATTGTGTAATTACATATTAATACATTCCTAATCGTTTTAAATTGTTTTAACTGGGATCAGTTGAATTAAACTGATTCCAGTTGTATCCAACTGGAAATGAAACTTGATCCAGCTGAATACACCTGGGACCAATACAGTAAAACCTCATTAATTCAACCCCCGCTAATTCGGAAATTCGGATAATTTGAACTGCCAATCCGGTCCCGTCAAACGTATGTATTAGTCAATGGCAGCAAACGCTCATTAATTCGGAGGGAACGCGGCGCACTATGGTTAATTCGGATGAATTCGGCAGGTGGCGCTAGCTACCGTCTGTTCCAAAGGGTATGACCGAAATCCATCCGAAGTGCACACGTGGTTTTTCCGGTTTCCCCATGGTTCTTCGCTCTTTCGGTTCTCCGTGTTTCGCACCAGTTTTGCTCTGGATCGCCGTGCTTCAACGCGTTACTCTCCTGGCACGGAAACGGCAGAAGCATTGCTGCAACAAAAAAAGGGTAGCACAGTGACCGACGACCGGAATGGCAAAATCGCGACACGCGGGGCTATTGTTCCCGAGCGTGCCAATAGCGAGAGTGACAGTCACGTTTTATGCCTCAACGCGGGGATCCTAAAGCCCGCCATTTTAACAACTATCCTATCCCTCAATTTTTCGCCGGCCACCCCCGCATTGAAAAATGCAACGTGACTGGCACTCTCGCTATCGGCACTTGGGAAAAATAGTGCCGGGTGTTGCGATTTCGCCGCTCCGATTACTGGTCACTTGTGCTACTCGTTTTCCGTTGCAGCTGTACTAGGCTAAGAATTTAGCGACGAAAGTGGAAATACTGAGGGCCTTGGAGGGCGGCGTCTCTCGACAAGTGATGGAAAGTTGCGACGTCAAGAGAAGCACTTTGGCCACGTACGTAAAAATTGTGGCCAATATCCTACGGGCTTTCGAGAGCGAGAAGTTCAACGCGAAAAGAAAGCGGCCTTGGAAGGTGGTGCACCCGAAACTAGAAGAGGCCTTGCTGTGCTACATTGTCAGCGCACGGGACGCGTAGCTCCGACAGTGCGAGTGCGGTAGAGCACTCGACCGCGCTAAGGAAAGTTGCCGTCTCCGCCCAAGTGTCGTCCAGAAAGCAGGCGGTAATAACAGATTTCTTCTCAAAATAAAGGTATGTCACAGGGAAACATTTTCGCGCAGCTTTCTTTGTACTTTCAATATTTGACTTTCGAATAATTCGGACATTTTTGTCGGTCCCATGAGATCCGAATTAACCAGGTTTTACTGTACCATAATCCATCCCCAGCTGAACCGACTTTCCCTTGGGTGGCAAAACAATACTGCCCAAGGAATGCTTCCGCAAAGATTCCTGTGCTCTCACAAAGTTTATCAAACGGTCGTGCAAACCACATCCCCTGCATTTCTATCGTATCCTCCTCTCTCTATCCTAGGCTACCAAGTCGAAAAGATTGGAGCCCGGAGCATACCCAAAGAAAAATCAGGAAACCATCCTCTGTACCCTCTTGAACTATGTCCACTACACGGGCGTTGAGGCCCACATCAACCCTCCAAGGCCGTCTTCCAGGCCTCGTTGCCACCGAAGACTTCCCCACTCCTCCCCCTTTCTGGTCTTCCAATAAACATCAATCAATCTATCAATCCCTCTCTCACCTCATCTCTGCTTTTTCCTTGGGGTCCGAGTCGAGGAGCTCCTCAATTTCGCTGACCAACTTGTCCTCCTGCTCGAAGACAGCATCATCTGCAGAGGTTCGGTTGAGGTGTGCCATGTCGGCGAGCCCTGCCGGGAGGATCTTGCTGAAGATCTCTTTCCCGACCGAACCAAGCGACAGGCGAACCGATTCTGCAGCAGGCTTCTCCGCAGGCTTCTCCGCTTTTTCTTCAGAGCTGGCCTTGTGGCTAAAAGGCATTGTGTCTTCCGAGGGGGCCTCGACGGACTCTGCTCGCTTGGCCAGGCTTTTGGTCTCGGAGTTGCGGATGGTTCGGGAGAGGAGGCTCAGGTCCTCTGTAGAGCGCTGCTCTTTGGAGGGGACCAGCGGCGACGCGGGTTCTCCCGTGGAATCCTCCTGCCTGGGAAACGAGAATATATCATTCTGTTACAATAGACCCTTTTCAGAAGTTGTAGCCACCAAGTGGCAGTCTCAAAAACTCCAATATTTTTGTACTACTAACGGCAGTAATTACAGAAAACGACCGCCTAGCTTGAAGCAGACTTCGTGAATTGAAGGCGACGTACAAGAACCATTGTTGGAATCGATTCCCTGCTTATTGTTCTATGCTTTCACAGACATTTGCTTTTTCTGTTGTGAAGAAGCTCCGTGATGTCGCATTTGATTGTTGGGTTTGGCTGTGGAGAGGGTAGGTAGACTGACTCTTAAAAAGGGCCTATTTTGTAATCAAAGTTTACACCCTGTGAATTATTGTTAGATTGCAGCAGCTCTCGTCAAAACTAAAGAATTCCACTCAGGCCTACCCCAAAAAGACGTTTGTGCAAACATTTCCCACCAAGCAAATGCAGCATCCCGTCCTAAAATTGCACCGAAAAGTCTGGGATGCTGCAAAGCACTGTTCTCTCACAGTGATTCCCACTAAAGTTCCTGCTCTACAGTGGCCATCTAGAAAAGATGGGCGTCTTTGTGGACCTTTCCTGCATGAGGAAACACAAAGCCTCATTATGAACACATCTGAGTTGACCGTAGCAGAGACTGCAGAGTATTCTTCTTCCTTTCCGGCATCCTTCGATTGCCCATGCAATGCAGCGGTCATCTCGAAAGGGTAGTTTATAAGGAGATGTAAAAATAGTAATAATATGAAAATCCACCACGGTACCAATGCTAGCCAGAAGTATGTACATCATAAATTTGAGCATTTAGGAATGAGGAAACTTCTGTGATTAAAAACTCCATGTAAACAATTTCTATTTTGTGGTGATATCATATTCGAAAATTAAAAGGAAGTCGGAAAACTAATGTCCTAATATATTGCCAATGCGTGGGATTCCCAGACTGGGTCAAGCCCAACATTCAAAGTTTGTTCTCACAAAAAATATTCCAAAATGTGGCAGCTTGTTAGGTTTGCCAAATATGAAAGCCTCCATACACACCCTTCTTCGCACCAGTTGGGCATCCCTCCCTTTAGACTACCCCTAACAAGACACAACATAAACTGCATTTAACGTACGAAATATAGAGATCCAGGAAATAACATTGCATTTTTCCCTAGAATACGTAGCAGTTGAAATCTGCGCCAGATCAATTTGCCCCTTTCCACTGGCTTCCATTTTTTCGTTTACAGTGCAATCCACTTATAAAGATACCACATATAATGATGCACTGCTTATAACGATCAATTTCTAGAGTTTCTAGACTAGAAGCCTTCAGTTTCTAGTCTAGATGCAACGATAATCAGTTATAATGATTTATTTTCTGGCTTTCTCATTATCATTACAAGTGGATTGCACTATATAGCAAATTTTTTGGTGTATAAGTCGTGGCTTGTTTCCAAAAGTTTTGCTGGCGCACCCTGTAGACGTTTTTCATTTCCTTTCATTCTCAGCCAAGTGGGCTCCATATCTGGTAAGCGGGACGAAAAAATAACAAGACCTTTCAACCTGGAACATGTGGGAAAAAAAATTACCGGAGGACACTTAAGCTTCGCCTTTAAGAGTGGAACGCGATAGCTAGACATATAAACTTCTAATATTAAAAAATTCGAACACCAACCAAGCCCTTGTGTAGGGACCCAACGTTTCAAGGCCAATTCGGCCTCTTCTTCAGGGGCGACTACGGCTATGGCCGTTGAGGAGCAGTGTCCTTTTCTTTTTTTTCTACGGCGTGTGTCTGGTCTTCTTCTTCTACGGCTCTGCCTTTTTCAATAATGTGAAAGAGGGTATCCAACTAGCGCACAAACCTGTGTCTACCCTTGGACGACTCATGCCACGCCCGAAAGATCGCCCTGGTAAAGAAAGGGCCCAAGGCGTTGTATATAAGATTCCGTGCGGGGTTTGCGCGGCCTCATACATCGGCGAAACGAAGAACTTTAGAGAGAGAATCCGTCAACATAAAAACGACGTGCGCAAGTTCGATCACGAGCGTAGCGCGGTTGCTGAGCACTGCGACGTCAAGGACCATCGCATTGAGTTCGACAACGCATGCATCGTTGACGTTGAGACAAATCCTCGAAAAAGACTGTTCCTAGAATCATGGCACATTCAAACAACGCCACAGAACATCAACAGATCTCTAGGGGCTTTACCATCCGCCTATGTGAATGGGCTTCGTCACATTATTGAAAAAGGCAGAGCCGTAGAAGAAGAAGACCAGACACACGCCGTAGAAGAAAAAGAAAAGGACACCGCTCCTCAACGGCCATAGCCGTAGTCGCCCCTGAAGAAGAGGCCGAATTGGCCTTGAAACGTTGGGTCCCTACACAAGGGCTTGGTTGGTGTTCGAATTTTTTAATATTAATTACTCCCAACCAGACAGATCTCTGTCAAATGTTTACCTTTAAATATAAACTTCTGCATGTTCCCAAGCCATGCAAGCATGTCAGCGTGGCCTGGTAGGTAGTGCATCTAGCTCGTACCCGAGGGGTCGAGGGTTCAAATCCTGCTTTAGCTTAAAATTTGCCAAATTTTTCTTTAAGGCAAATAAATGACTTTTTAAGGCGAAATTATTTGAGACATGCAGCGACCTTTAATTCACATTACGTGTCATGTTTTAATCACTTTCATTCCATGCGTGATGTCACATTTCACGTGAGCGTTGTGGGTTGTTTGAAATTCCAGCACGAGGTCATGTGGCTGCGGCGTCACGACCCTTTCAACCAATCAGAATTTTCTTGTCCTGCCGACACCAACGCCGGATTTTCTTCGACACGAGGTGCTAAATGCAATCACGTTAATATAGGTGAGACAAATTAAGAATAATGTGACAATCATGCATTTTTACGAACACCTTCCAGCGGCATGGAGAGATCAAAACAATGTTTTAACGCATACCGGAAGTGACGACATTCAAGATGGCCGCGCCTTTGTGGAAAAGGGGTACACAGCGGTGCGACGTATATGCATATTTTTTGTTAGTATGGATTTTAACTGTGCAAATGTGCCGCAGGAGTTCGACTTCTTGTTCAATTCATTAGTGAGAACATTGAAACTGGCTCCTTCTTAAGCCTATATTATGATCAGAATGTAGACATGCAGGCTCATCAGCGCACTTTTGCTATGCCGACCGTAAAAACATATATAAGGCGACTTACATACAAATTTGTTTTGTGAAAATGGCCGTTTATTGCGACTTATTCATTGATATGACCTATAGACCATAGAACGGGGTAAACACGTCCGAGGAGGCATGCAGATTTTCTGCGCTTCAGACCGAAAATTTGGCCAAACGGTCTCACCTGCCCTTCTCGGTGGTGACGGCATCCAGGCTCTGCTTGAGCTCGCTCGGGGAGTGTCCGGGAGCCAGGTGCACCTCCAGAAAGTCGTGCTCTTCGGGCCTCAGCTCAGAGGTGAGTTGCCGAAGACCCACCGTGGACGCCGACTCTTCCAGGCCGCTCTCCATCATGCCTGCCGAGAAACGACGACAAATGGCAGCGAGGAAACGCAGGGCAAACGACACTGAGCGTTCAAAACACTAAGGTCAGGGGGCTGGCACCCTCTACAATATTTACAGCGGCAAGGAGCAGAAGTTCTGAAATTTAAATAACAATTCGAATATCAGACTACTCTACTTAACTTTCGAATAAGGCTCAGTTCTAGAAAACAAAAAATATTTTCAACGCTCCCAAGGCTAGCCAAGTTAAATGCACTTCCCCTGCTGCACGAGTGCACTGCAGGGAAGCGACATTCGCAGCAGCAGTGCCACGGGTGCGGCTTTTCCACAGCGCGGTGGTGCGTTAAAGGGTAACTGCAAAGAAAAAAAAGTTTTTTTTTAAACAGCCTAATTGGGACAAGCATGTCACAAAACAAATGTTCCGCGAAAAAAAATATTTTTTTTATCAATATTTACGCCACAGGACGTAATTTAGTAGAGTCAGAATTTCTCCACATTTGAAACTCCCGCTCTTTCGACCCCCGCGGAAGAGGAGTACGCCCCGCCCCTCACTCTCCTTGCGTTGCGGAGTTGAACGACGCAGCGTCTCGACTTCCGGCAAGATCTGGCAACCACGCCAGGCCGTGGTATTTTTTTGGTTTGGTGGGTTTGACGCGGTTTGCGAGCACATGTACTGAAGACGTGACCGGAGAAGTGCCACTGTGATGTTCCCAGAAGATGGAAAGTATCGTTCGTAATCGTCGTGCGCGCTTTCAAAGCGAAGGGAGTCACAGAATCCACGAGTGCGCAACCACGAGCCAAGGTTCACTCACGACAGCGCTGCGTTGGTTTCGGCGATCTCGTTCCGTTTGGTGCAACACGGCGATGAGACAGAGCTGAAACGTTTGTGGTGTGTGTAATGCGGTGCTAACACGGAGCGCAAATTGGTTGTTGTGGGGTTGACGTTCAACCAGTTAAGTCCCGTCGTCGTCAGCTGATCCAGTCAAACTGGTCCGGGAGGACGCTGGGAGCGTTCTTAAAAGTAAATCTGCCTCGTTCTGTTTCAAAATGTGGAAGTTTCCCGACGCATTCCGTGAGTAAAAAGCTGCGGGCGTTTTCAACAAAATTACTACGTTTTAATTGAACAATGGACTCCGCATTGTTGTCCTAAATCTGCCGTTTTTATGCTTCGGGTTGGACTGCGTTTGCACAGCGACGTGTTGCATCGTGCGGTGTGAATAAATTTGGGCACGATTTCGTACCTGCCTACAGATGCATGAACTGAGACCATTTTTATGTAGTGGACATAGTGCTTTTTTTATTTTCTGTCTAGTCGCGGACGTTAGGTGCACACGGGGCGAATCTCGACGGCCTCCAGAGCGATATGACGAGAACGTAACTGGACACGTTTGTCGCTACGCGAACGCCCGATTGCCTCCACCCAAATAGCATTCCTTTCGGGGCGACATGGCTGCTGGAAGGCTCACTGTCGGGATCACGCATCTAACATCTAACAAGTCAGCATTTTGCACGCACAAACAAGCAAAAAAAAAACACGCTAAGCAAGCAGAGGAAAACGAAAGAACCGCGCTATGAAAGCCAAAACCCCGCGTCGCTTCCTATCACTAACACCTGCGACAGCTGCTAAACACACACTACTTCACTTCAAGAAGTCTCACTCAAGCACCTGAGTCAGCACGAAACGACGAAACACTGATCACTTCGGCGAAACGGGTAGGCGAGACAGGCGGGAGCAGACTTCGGCGGCCATGAAAGATGGCGAAGCTTTTGTTTGTATGAATCCAAACGGAAGTGCCCGTCTTGTAAACCTTTTGTAAAGAATAATAACTCTCATCACATGGGTTATTCTTTAAACGTAAAAATATGCCGCTCAAAAGGAAATTGCAACGAATAACAAAGGTTTAACAACCAAGATCTAAGCTGTCAATCAAACTCTTAGCCAATGAGAACCTTTTGGGATTGACGTCACATAATCACAACTTCGTGGCGCGCGATTTAAAACGGGCGAAATAGCCGCAAACTAAAATCAGTCTCACGCAATAAATATTGCTGTAAAAAATGTTTTTTCTCGCGGAAAAATTGTTTTTTGACATGCTTGTCCCAATTAGGCTATTTAAAAAAAAACTTTTTTTTCTTTGCAGTTACCCTTTAAGGAAACAACACTGCATAAAACAGGGGTGGCCAAGCTGCGGCGAGAGCCGCATGCGGCTCTTCACGTGTTCAAGTGCGGCTCGCGGCTCCCTCCTCTAACCCCCCCCTCTCTTTCTTCCGTCTCCCTCCCGGTCACACGAGCATTTCTCCAAAAAGAAAAATGGAACGCGTTTTAAATCGAAAGATATGTTGCGGTTCGGTAGTCTTGTGCTACTGCTACCTTACGTACAGCTGGACTGCTTTTGACTCAGATAGATTGAAGGTAGTTTCGTTTATTGCTCTACACAAAAGATTCCCCCCCCCCCCCCCCCCCCGCGGCTCTTGGATGTTTCGGGGTTTTGTTTGCGGCTCTTAGGCCGGGTCATCCTGGCCACCTCTGGCATAAAAGGTTGAGCATGCAAGCTTTTTTTTTAAATAAAAAAAAAACTGGCCTTTTTTTTTTTGCATTAAAAGTAAAAGACTGTTATGACAGTTTATGAGGACATAACATTGAGATAAATCACTCGGATTGTAACGAGATGTCTAGTTCTGCCACAAATGCACAAAAGCTTGCATAAAGCTAGCTAGCATACAAAAGTATCTTAAAGGATACTGAACCGAAATTTGGATTTTGCAAAATAAGGCAGCAGAGTCGTTGAACGGGACGCTACGAACTTCAAAACGCCACTCATACATCGATATCTCAAACAGATGGCTGTACTTTTAGTAAAAAAGGACGCGATCAAGCGAAGTCTCTGACGTCATTGACCCCGGAAGAATTTGAGAATGAGGGGAAGCGGCCTCGCTTCACTTCACCAGCTCGACAAAGTGTAGCGAGGAGGAGAGGGAATGAGAATCGCGACGTGTCTTGTCTTGTCGGCCGTGTTCAATCCTGCACTTCTTTTCCAAAAATATGGCAACTTAGAGATATTGCTGTAGGAGTGATGTTTTTGGGGTTTTGCAGCCTATCCGTCGAGCCTTGTTTTGCGAGCTAGAAATTTCGATTCAGTACCCCTTTAACGTACGTGCAACACCAACACCACAAAATATGTCTCCAACATACTTTTGGAAGTTGTTAATTAAATAATAAGAGTCAATGAAGAGTTCCACAAATGAACAGATCTACTGCCTGCATATTCAGGATTTGCAAATACTCAGTCATTAAGATAAAACATTACCAACCAACCTGGGAAAAGTGAGCAGAGGGTTAGAATTGTGGAGCAGAGATCTTTTACGGGTGTCTTGTAGAAGAGTACCTAGAACAAGTAAATAAGCATAAGCCAAAGAAAATATATTTTTTCTTGATCAGAAATAGCAAGCAATCCTACCTTACGCTCCAAGAGAAACAACTTGAAAAGCAGCACCGCCTTATGCTTGAAATGCAAAATAAGGTCACGGGACGAAAGACCTGGAAAAGAGATGCTTGTTAAAATAGGACACAGTAAAAAGTTAACTGCATGCTTATGATAATGTCATCAGGCGGTACTTAAGAGGTACATTGTTTTCAATCCTAAACTTCTCACTGACATGCTGGAGCTGCTCTCTCGATGTAGTAGTGTATGTTCATTTACTGCATCAAGAACCTCCCCAGGTGAGGCATGGCTGCTTTGGGAGGAATACCAATTTCTACTTATAACCAAGCTCATTTAACACTTCTGTATGAGATTTCCCACCAGAGCCTGGGTATTTCAAGGTACACTGTCTTACTTTTCTCAGACAACCAAATCCAGAAGAAACTATTTTATTTGATGTAGTCGATGAACTGCTCTGCATGAAAGCTGAGTATCTTTTGAAATTCGAGCAACTATTTTGTGTTCCCAAGCTGTGGGTTAGACTATTAAATGAGATGAAATATAAAGCAAAAGGGAAAAGGTTCCGATGTTCCTCAGCCAGATGGCGCAAGGTACCACCCGATACGAAGGGTATAGCTGCCACTATCATCCATTGTTAAGCGGTGATGTGATGGTGTTGCGTCACTGGTGGGATTCTGGTGTGACTGTTGGTGGCTGTTGACATCGATGAAGATGAAATCCAACAAACACTCCCATTGGCCTGGAGGTTTATGTCGCCGCAGGAGCAGCTTCTCTTGATGTTGGAGAAAGAGGAAGACGAAGACCCGTTGACGTCGGTTATTTCGGCCGATGTTCAAAAGCCTTGATTCCGGGTCTTCGAGAGTGTCTCTGCCGAGCGATGGTGTTGTAGACCGTCCCCGTAAGTGTGCCATAGATGGAGCACGGCCTCACCAGGGTTTCAAACGTAACAGCATCCATCCAGGCAAGAAAAAACAAGGACATGTCGAGGGGAGGGGTGTAAAGGTTTCCAGGCTGGGTGGTGCAAGTTACAACCCGATACAAAGGGAATAGCCACTACCATCCATCCATCCATCGAGAAAAAGAAGGACTTGCCGAGGAAGGTCGAGCTGCCCTGGAGCATTTCTGGGCACAGCAACGAATTGAGGTTCTGGAAGGTCTCCTGGAGGAGGGACACCTTGCTGAAGTCCCGTTCCTCGAAGTATGCGTGGGTCACCAGCTGCAGCTTGGCTTGTATCAGACCAAAGAGCGGAAGCCGGCTCAGTACGCACACACTCTTCTGCACCGAGCTTCTTGTCACGTCTGCTTCGCGTCGAAGCAGCTTCTGCAAGGGACACGAGCATTGCAATACATACAACAGAACAAACGCTGAAGCTCCTACAGTTAGGAGCTTGAAAGTCTGGGTCCTTTAAAAAAAATTATTCAGGAATAATGCAGAAAATGACCAGTGAATCAGGCTGTAGAGTTTCCTCCAAAAGGCCATAAGAATTATCATAATGACTAAGCACTGAATAGTGACCTCAGTGGAGCTTCAGCTGTGTAAACAATTTAAAGTTGCACAAATAAAAGAGTACCAAAGATTGTGAGACAGCCTTAGGCAGTCCTGATGTACCACGAGGAATCTATGTCTGCAGAGTCTGAATGAGCGGATTCTGACTTAGAATTGTGATGCACTACAGAACACCCTTCTTCAAGAGGTCTCCAAGATGAAAACATGCCCTACTACTGGCATCTCATTACACTTGGGGTTGCAGGGCACTAGCAAACTGCATTTTTCGCAAGCTTTTTTTCAAGGTTTCAATTAGATTGATATCATACTCTAAAAGCTCTCCTGTCAGTTATGAAAAATATAAGAATCATAGTGCAAGTAACTCTAATACAGATTCCTTAAATCTATGCTCTAGCTGGAAAAAAGAAGAAAAAAAAAAAAGGGGGCACAGTAAACTGCCTATATTTTAAAATCAAGAAATCACTGATGTACAGGAATCATTACAAAACACAGAATAATGAAACTCACAGCAGACCAATTCAAGCTACAACAGGTACTGACAGCCCCATCTATAGGGTCTTGGAGGTGCCTGCTGTCTTCATATTAAGCTTACCATAAAGAAAGTAAACATGCTCTACCAGCTTAGACAATAGAAAATATCAGATATATTTCTAAATGTGTATAGGTACCCATACTAAATTGGTACCAAACAATAGTTGAGTCCTATTGTGGTTGCATATGAATATTCTAAACTAAAGAGCAAGCAAATGCTGTGCAACCTGAAAGCAGCAAGGGACATATCTCACCTCTGCATTGATCTGTCGATAGCAGGAGATCCCAAAGATGGACTGCTTGGGATTATCCAGAGCAGGCAAATGGAAATAAATGGTATCTGGGCAAGAAAAAAAAACAACAAAAAACGGGAGCCAATACTTTTATGATTTTCTGGACTTCGAAATAGTAAAACAACATCAAGACAATTGAAAAGACAGTGTTATAGACTCTTTTCTAAAACCATTTATCACTATTTATTTACTGGCACTGTTATCAGTATATAGTTAGACCATTCTCATTACATTGTTTTGGGGCCTAATGTATGTACGAAGAAAATATTGAACAGTTGTGACTGGCCGCAAATGCATCCGAGGCTGTACTTACCTTCTTCGTAATTATGCGCTCCATCCGGCAAAGCAAGCGACGGCAAATGCTTCCAAGGTTCAGGCAACTCTTGACTGTCCAAAGTGCCTCCTTCGATCAGGGGAGGATATGCATACTCCAACTGTGGGCACGGTAAGACAATACATGAGAACAAGCGCATAGTGGAGAGCAAGTCGTCTGCTTCGTGTGCAAGAGGCAACGTTATTAGATTAGTTTAGTTACGGAACTGCTCATAGACGCTGCATGCACGATCAGTACCCCCCCTCACTCACCACGACTCGCCTCCCGTCGTTCGACGTGCCAGACGGCTGCCATGGTAACTGCAGTTTATTCTATGAAATACATACATTTCGAAGCGCAGCGTATAGGTGGCGCTCCACCGTACTCTATGGAACACACTGCTTATAACCAAAAATCCAGATGGTGCTTCGAACTACAGGAGGCGGACTAAAGCAAGTGACCCCCTACCGCGCGAGTTCCACGACTGAGGTAATCTAGCAATGTTGGCAACAGCTTGCGGCGACGTCAGAACGACACCGGGCTCTGGATGGCTTTGATTGAAAGGATAGTGGGTAAACCTCAACGCTATATACCTTCAGGTCTACCCACTATTTTTTTTTTCAACCAGCCAATGAGAGCTCGGCGTTCTGACACCATCGCAACCCCTGTGCAAGAAGCAGACGAACTTGCGCTCCGCATAAGCCACAACGTCCATACATTTTTATTTCCATACACATGAACCAGAATCGGATAGTACCGAAATTTAACCGCGCGATCGACTCGCTTTCTAACTTCGTTTTAACACGCATTATTAACACTTAATCTATTGGTGTTTCTTTTTTTTCAGCATTGCTGCGAAATTTTTTTTAGACACCTGGGTGACACGACTGCCGAGACTCAGTTGTTAGTTTTGTTGTTGTTCTAGTGTTAGCTTAGCTGTGAGCACTCCAAATGCGTGCGTCACGCTCGAGACACATGCTGCTAAGCTCGTTGGCTCACCTGGTAACCTTTTATGTGATGGAATCCGACCACGACGACGTGAAGAATGGGAGACGTCGTAACAGGTGGCGGTGTTTCCATGTCCCCGGCCAGATTGAGTAGCGACGAGGGAGCGAAGCTTATTACACGATGCACAGATAGTCGCCGCACTTTTGCACTGACATGCGCGGCGCGAAGAACCGCGCAAGAGAATGGAGCGGCCTGGCCCCACGAACAACGGACGAGGTTTCTAGGCGAGCGGTGGTGTCAAGTCTCGGCATTCCGAGTGCCAACAGCGGCTATGCGATGGAAGCAGCGTTTGTTCTGTTTGCGCACTGAATTACTCAAGCGGCGACCGTGAGCATCAAGGTGCTGGCTTCAACGACGCACGTACGGCCAGGAAAAATTCGATAAACGGGAGCACTGCAGAACCAGAGCGCACCGAGCAGGCACCCAGCAACCGACCGCAGCAAAACCACCGACGACCTGACGCCATGAGACGCTCGTCACGCCACAAGTGTCGCTCTCGCGAAATTATGTTGCTGGGCAGCGTTTAATTACGGTACCACTCATTTACCGGCGGGACAGATTAAAATAAAATATTTTACACTTATTTTTTACGTGATTTAAAATATTTTACGCTTATAATACAAATTTCAAGAGTTGCCGGTTTGCTGCAGTTTTCAACGTAGCGAAAAAACGCTTGCCGGCCACAAACACTGAAAGTGTGGACGAAAAAAAAAAATGTAAACATCGTAAACATAGTAATCTTGTTACTACTTCGTAAGTGGTGTCAGCAATGTAGAGCAACGCCAGTGACGTGCTCCGCTACGTTACTGCCTGGGGGTGACGTAGTTTTGGCACGTTCGCGAGACAGACAAAACGTGCATTCTTTTTCCCTCGTGCTCCTAGTGCTTCCCCTCTCACGCTCGAGACAGCCAGACAGCGATGAGCATCGCTCGCCGCAGTCCTCCGAACGCACCTCGGTCGGGGACGCCACTCGAACCACCGCAGACACGCATCACTAGCCGTATCATCCATCGCCCATCGCAATCTGCGAGCTTCGGACACTCGGTTGGATGCTGATAAGATGGGGAGTCCTGCCGCCGCTCACGGCTTCCAAGTTTCCTGAAGCTATGAGGCGATCTTCGTCGCCATGGCTCCGAAGTTTCGGTTTCGCCGTGGTCGTCGTGCTCATCGTCGCATCGTGCCTTATTGCCGAAGTCGGAGCGTCGCCCGGGGATCAAGGGGCCGCGTACCAGTCGTGCGTGCAGCGATGCCTGACCGGCAACTGTTCGACGAGCGAACTGCTGACGCTGTTCAGCGCCCAGCGGCCTTGGTACCTCGGGGCGCTGCGCTGGGACTGTGCTGAGGAGTGTCGCTACGACTGCATGTGGCAAGCGCTGCAGTTTCTGCGGAAGCGGGGGAGACCCGTCACCCAGTTTCACGGAAAAGTCGGTGGTTTTTTAATGTTGTTTCCGTGTTCGATCGAGTAGGCCGGTTCCTAATGGCTACCTTGTCTCGCGTCGTACGTCGATGTTATGTAGGTCACGTCGCCCAGCTGCGTGTATAGATGCACAAACTCGAGCGTTAGATTTCAGTGCTTGCCGGGCTGCCTTTGTGCTGTCCCACGTCGAAAAATCGAGATGCTTTAAGGAACATACTAACTTATTATAGACTAACCCACCCTGAAATATATGCAAGCTTTTATTGCTGTGGAAGTTCTCGACAAGAAATAGAGGCTTGCAGTGAGACCGTCGGTGGAGAAAGGCGAAATATACATATATATACACACGGTGCTATCTGTACCACCACATCTCACGAGAAATAATAATTTTCGCAATTTTTCGCTACTTGATTTTTGAATCTCCAAAACCAAGGAGTAACCCTAATTTTCATAATAAATTGTTACATGCATTTTTTCTTTTTTAATTTCTTTTCCAAAATTAGAAGAGCATACCCCATCTGTTTGGACTTACCACCAGGTATTAATTTTTGTAGGAAAATTACAACTCGCAGGGTCAGAATTTTTATGCACTGGTGGACAAAGCAATACAATGAATTGTCCCATAGCGTGTAGTAATCATGTGTTTAAGACGATGGCCTGGGTTTTTTGGAGGGATTCCCTTACAGGTTCCGTCGCTGTGACAGAGTGAATATATAATCTCCCATGTTGCTTGCAGTGGCCGTTCCTGCGGTTCTATGGCATCCAGGAGCCGGCCTCTGTGGCATTCTCCATCCTCAATGGGTTCTGCCACCTGTGGATGTGGCGCAAGTTCAGGCGCCTGGTGCCCCGCTCCGCCCCCCACTACCTCATCTGGAAAGGGCAAGCTGTAGTGAGCACCCGTCTTCTCCTCTTTCTAGTCTTTGTTGATTGATTCTTTGAACGCTTTTTGTTAGGGGCCGCGCTTGTCAACAGCCCAATGTGGAGTGCACGTTCATCTGCTTCTTGCTCGGGGGTTCCAGTGACAATAGAACGCAGAGCTCTGATTGGCTCTGATGGAGGGATGGTGGGTGGACCTCAGTGCTAGCTGCCTTGAGGTCTATGCACTGTCCTTCCAATAGGAGCCAATCAAAGCTCGGCGTTTTGTGTCACTGCAACCCCTGTGCAAGAAGCAGATGAACGTGAGCTCTGCGTAGCCTATGGAACACTGGTTCAGCAACATCAAACAAAAATGATAAAATCAGCACATTAAAAAAAAACAATATTGCTATGCTCAGTGCCATCCGCCATGAAGACATTCAAAAGACTCTTTTGAAATTCAGTCTGGCCACTTTGATCATTATCATCATCTGAGGAATGGCATGTATGCTGTGTATAATGCAAGGCAGGAACACTTGAGACTTTAGTACGATGCAACACAGGAATTGAATACGGGAGCTGCATAGGCATTCATTTCTAACTCGGGTCCAGTCATTCTGTTGGTGGCACATATTCTACTTTACAGCCCCTTGATGTCAAACATTTTTCACGGCTTCAATGTTGTTTGGTGCTTTTTGCATTTAATTGCATTTAATCATAACCTTAAAATGCAAGCTTTTCAGCCTTGTTGGTGTTAGACTGGTGGCAGCTGGTAAAACCTGTTTGCTCTACTGACGTCTAACCCCTGGTTAGCTCAATTGGTAGAGCGCTCCAGCCTCCTCTGGAAATGGAGAGGTCCCGGGTTCGATACCCGAACCAGGCGGACTTTTTCGGTCATGCACCAGTCACCTAGCTGCATTTGGAGATTTGTGTTTTTCCTTTATTTTTACCTTTTGCATATTTGTCACCATCGAAACTGAGAGATCCAGAAAGTGTAAGGTAAAAAAACTTCGGGGACACTTAAGCTTTGCCTTTAAGAGCGCCACCTGTAGGCGATAGCGTTATCAACCCCCGTTCGCAAAGCATTAAAGGGAAGCTACGGAGGTTCTTGAAAACACTTTCAGCCTTTCCACTCTGGTGAAGAAGGAAGACCAGCGAAGCTGTACTATGATGGGACGACCTCAAGGACAACTTCTTGGACGACCTCAAGGACGACATCTAGGACAGCGTCTAGGACGGCCTCAGGGGCGACGTCTAGGACGACCTCAGGGGCGGCATCTAGGACAACCTCAAGGACGATGCCTAGGACGACCTCAAGGACGATGCCTAGGGCGACGTCTAGGACGACCTCAAGGACAACGTTTAGGACGACCTCAAGGATGATTTCTAGGACGACCTCAAGCATGACTTCTAGGATGACCACTCGGACAACCTCAAGGACGACGCCCAAAGAAATTCAGCCTTTTCAGAGTGGAAAGGCTGGAAAGATTGCCGCCATCTATGAGCGAGGCCGGCAAGCCGGCTGTCTGGTTGCCACCGTCGCTCATACATGGCGGTAGCTGTCCAGAGTTTTGTGTCGACATTTGTTAGGTACCGGACACAATCCTGGGGAACCTAGCCCTTAACAGCTCTGCTGTAAAAATGAGTTATAAGTGAACTCTGATGTATTTTTACCCTGTGAACCCGAATACCAAAGCTATTTGCTGTGCAAGTATTGTTAAACGCGAGAAAATGAGAAAGACAGTTGCTGTACGTGACGTCATCAACGGATCTTTTGGCCGCCCAAGGCTAGGGAGGCGGGGCTTCAGCCCTATTCTGAAACTGCTCTTATGGCTCTCCGGCGCATTACATTGAAACATAATTGTTATATCTGTTATTCTAAAGGCCAAATGAACGCAATACAAGTGGTTTTTTTTTTTCAAATGCAGAAGTGCCCCACCTTCCCTTTAAACCCGCGCTCATTCTCAAGCCGTGCAAGCGTATGCGTAGTCTAGTCGGTAGCGTCACATGTTTTCATTGAAATTTTCCCTCTACATTTGGCGGGAAAATTTCCTGCTTTATTTGTCAGGAAAATGTTCCACTCAATTTGGCGGAAAAAGTTTTTGTGAAATTTTGCGGGAAAACTTTTTACTAAATTTAGCGGAAAATTTTTTTCTCCAAATTTAGCTATCACTTTAAAACACAGATTCTCGACTCCTGTTGACTAGCGAACATGATGGTGCCCGGCAAAATACTACCGACCGCATGTCAATTACCGCCATTTGTACGGAGAAGGTAAAATACTAATGGAGCCACCAGATAGCACTGAATTTCGAATTTTGTCCATGATCTGATTGTGTTTACGGTGCTTTTTGTAGAAAAGGAGAAGGGAGCAAAGAAAAGATAGAATATTTGATTTAGCAATATTGCCAGTTTTGTTGGACAAGGGAGCTTTACACTTTACACAAACGCTGCAGAAAACAAGATGGAAAATGAAAATAAGCAGTTTATTCTTATACTATGAGAAAATAAACTGACTAAACAAAACTAAAATAATTTCGAAGTGTGCTACAAGGCAGTGACTGCAAACTGTAAGCTTTATATACTCTACGAACCCCACTCTCATGTTTGTCTTTTCTTTGGAGCATTTTACAAACCAGAAATCTCATCTTTTAGGGCAGCTGTTACAGTCGGGCTGCCACCAACCTTGGCCTTTATTAAGTGTTTTAGCAGCTAGACTGATTGTGTTGACTATACTGCATGAGGCGATATCACGGAGATGCACTGGAGGTTGTGGTTAAAGTGGATTGCGTCAGAGCCGCCCCGTTGCAAGTGCGCTACGGTCCGGTTACGTTTCTCAGCAACTGTGTTTGCACTGACAGGCTGCTGAAGAGACAATGCTGTTCTGTTTTCCTCCTCTCCACAGCTGTCAATCAATGCCTGGTTCTGGTCAACCGTCTTTCATGCTAGGGATACTCCAGTTACTGAGGTGAGTGTTGGCACCAAAGTGACGTCACAATAAAATCAAAACCCGAGGTGTGCTTCAAAGCATGTAAAACCGTCTACGAACGCTTAACGATCCTGAAGCGGTAATGCTTTTGACACTTTATGACCACTTTATGAAAGTGCTGGAATAATTTAGGGAAATGTGTGCATTGCAAGAAACAACAATATCCACTCAGTGATGTTTTAGGGCTTCCCAAGAAGCACATGTTGTTATTTGTTTATGCTATTCTTGCACACAAACATTTTATTTTGTGTTAAGGTAAAAAGGAAGACAAAAATTACTTTTTAGGTATGTGGTATTGAACTTATTTATTTATTATTAGCGGCGAGAAGTTTTGGTGATGCCCTCCTACGGTTCCCCCTTGTAACGTCATTACCTTGCAAACAACAAGTTTGATGGTGTTTTTAAATAGCATGGTGGAAGCTTGAAATCATTGCGCTCTCAAAGGAACACTGCCAACACCTTCAAAATTAAAGTTCTTTCATTCCTCTTATTTCCGTCGATGATAAATCCTTTTCCGACGTCATAGTCAACGTTTGGCCAATCGTGGAAGGCCGACCGCAGCGACGCTTTCGGTCGCGCTCGTCGCCAATTGCTCAGCAGTTTTTAATTTTTTTAGTCCAAGGTGTGAGGGTCAAAGGCCTTTTTGCATGCTCCTCATGAGCTTGCACACATTATGGTGCTCATGCAACCGTGCTAGTGAAGTTGTTACTCAATAATAGCAGCAAGTATGCTGCTGTGATATCTGACATTGCATAGAGTTATCAGACTTAGGTACATAGGCGTAAACTACGGGGGGGGGGGGGGGGGGGTGCATCGGGGCTCGTGGCCCCCCTGGTGAGATCCGGAGGGGGCAGAGCCCCCTCGGGCCCGGGCCATGATCCTTGCCGAGACGCTGTTTATGTGCCATGAAACGAGTTTCTAAATGGAATCCTAGCATACTTCCGGGGGGGGGGGGGGGGGGGGGGGAGGGAGGAGGGGGAGGGAGGGGGGGGTGCTTTTTTGCTTGCACGAGAAAGCACCCCCCCCCCCCCCCCCCCCCCCCGGTGAACTTCTCAGCCTGCCCCCCCACCTGGGAAAATCGAAAGTCTACACCGCTGCCTAGGTAGTCGTTTAATTACACAATTTTTGGACTGAAACTTTTGCACAGGTTGCATAGAAAACAGCCGACTTATTTTTATATTTTACTCTAAATAGTTTCTGTTTCTTCCCGTCATGACTCGAAACCGAGTAGTGAGATCACCTTTGAAAGAGTGCTGTATTTCTGTTGTAACTTTCCAGGGAGAGTCAGCCCATAGAAAATCTATGTTGTTTTTATCTTATTTTCCTTCTTCCCGCTCTGCAGAAACTGGATTACTTTTGTGCCTTCTCCCTGGTGCTCTATTCCCTGTACAGCCTTTTCATGAGGTAAGTAGAAACCGCCGAAGGTTGCTGCTCATATATACCATATTCACTGATGCCTCGTTAGCCGTATCGGTGTTACTTGAACCATCAGCTTTGTTCAGGCCAAGGTACAACTTCAAAACATGCAGTAAAGGGGAACTAAAGCAGATTTTTATGGTGTATCCGGTTCATTTCACATGTTAAGAGAACAATGCAATTCTCTTTAGTATCGCCTAAAATTGCTACACACCAAATATTTCAATCTAATTCCGCCTAAATGGTGATGAAACTGGCAAGCCAAGTTTGAGATGCATGAAATCACCAAAATCTGCTAGTCCTAGCGGGCAAGGTGTGGTGAAGACAACAGCGCAGTCAATACCACAGTGTTGGCACAGCCCACCCTGCGCTACCTACATCATGCTCGGGGCTCTCGGAGCGATCTGTTTTGTTTGTTTTGTACTTTTTTGAGCGAACCCTATAGGTGGCGCTAACACCATGCTCATCGTTGCCCACGTGATTCGCAGAACGCACGTGCACCTGTGTTCTCCCGTGCAAGCACGCATTTTTGCCGGCAGCGTCTGTCAAGTGCGAGAGAGCCAGTTTGCGACGTTGAGCGCGGCGTACTGCTACTAGCCCGTCACGACATATTTACATGGGGCTTACTGAACTTCACTTTCTACTAATGTCTTAAAAGAACAAGCCTTTGGGAAAACTTTCCTTTTTCTGTGCTAAAACTCAAGTTGCGGTCGCGGTAGTATAAGAGGTATCAGGTGTAGAGGACTGCCGATCGTAGCAGACGACACTTTCGTCCTTGCTCTCGGCCGCCAGGTACGTGACGTGGCGATTTGTATTACATGGTTAGAGATGTAAGTGATGACACAGGAGCAACAATGCCTGCCTCAGGCAAGGTTTCAGTTTGTGGTAAGCCTTAAATAAAAACTGCGTAAAAAATATACTTTTTTTTTTATGAAATGACATTCAATTGTTAATTACTATTTCGAAATATATAATCAACCGTTAACTCAAATTTCTTGGAATTAACCGGAGTTGCCCTTCAAGGAAAAGGGGCAACCCTACGCATGTTTATTCAGGAGTTTTTCACTGTGTGGTACTGTTATAATGGTAATGGAGGGCATGAGTGACACTCGTGGTTAGTAGCCAAGGGGTTAAAGTTATTCACTAGTAACTGGCACCGGTAGCCTTGGGTTTGCGACGTGCATTACCAGGTCGTGTGGTTGGCACCAAAAGCCCTCTTTTGCTTTTCCCGTACAGGGTCCTTGGAACACCGCACAGTGTGCTGGCCTCCCTGTCGGTGACCATGCCTTTTGTGGCCTTCTTTGCCTACCATATCCACTACCTGGCCTTTGTGCACTTTGACTACGGCTACAACATGCTGGCCAACGTCACCGCAGGTACTGTGCTTGGGGACGCTGTCGCAGACCCTGGTTTTTACTTTGTTCAGTCTTGGAAGAAGGATTGAAAATTGATTCAGCGGGAGGGCGGGGTCAGATACTTACTAAATCCCTTTTGCTTCGGTAACAATTAAGGGTAACGTGAAAAGACAGTAGATTCAGCGTAGCCTTCCATACCGGATCTTGGTTTTGGGCTTTTGTACAGAACAAAAGCTAACCAACCCGTCAGATTTGTTTCCTCTTCAAGCTTTCATTTGCTCCGTTTTTTCTTGCTGTAGTTTATTCCACCGGAATTCCCACCGTAGATGAGTGATTTGGCCAGTGTGGTTACAGGAATGCACACTGCTGATTACAGAAATGCGCACTGCTGTGCTGCTTATCCAGATCAAAACAGGCAGGGTTGGGGATAGAACAGAAGATACCCGGGTCCTGCAGCGCGACCTCGCTCTACGTGCTCCGATCCGCAGTGTGCCAACACTCTTGGCGTCTGATTTCGATTTGCCCAGCCCAATAGACCAGTTTCAAAAATTGCAGGAGGCTGTGCACAATGAATGATGAGGACATCCTCTGTGCTCCTCCTTGGCATGAGAAAGCGGGTAGCACTAGCAGAGTTGCACGCCTGCTATCTCCTGCTTACCTGCGTTTCCTCCGTTGTCTGCTACAGCCGATTTTATACAGCCAGTTCCCAGAATTCTTTTCTGGTGTCACATAGAACACTATGTTTTGTAGCAGCTCCATTGGGAAAACCACTTTGGCTCTATCGGTGTTTTTAACATAGGCTTCTTATCCGATCCTCCCCCTTTGCTCCATCCGAGGGAGTTTCAGTACTTTCCCAGAGTTCCAATTCCCGATGAATTCCCCAGGGCTGCTCAACTCGCTGGGCTGGCTGGCGTGGTGCTGGTGGCACCGGCGCAGGCGCCCCTATGTCTGGCGCTGCGCCTTGGTGGTGGCCGCCCTCAACCTGCTTTTGCTCCTCGAGCTGGGGGACTTCCCCCCGTGGCACTTCCTGCTGGACGCACACGCCCTCTGGCACCTGGGCACGGCACCTCTGCCCCTCCTGTGGTACAGGTGAGGCTGGCCTGGGGCATCCATCTATAAACACTTTCGAGGACGACCCCGCAGCATTGCCATCTTGCTGCTGGGCTGTGTAGATCGTCCGATAGTCAAGCCTTCGTGCTAAGGCGGGTCCTCGGTTGCTGGAATGGTGCCACAACAAAGCTCTTCTCATCCATGATGGCCAGAGTAACTTTTGAACCGTGGCTGCTTGCAAATGCGCGTACGGGCCGAGCAAGCAAATCAATTCATTTCTAGAGATGTCCCAGCTGAAATTTGCTATGAAACTGCAGTTTTAAGAGAGTGAGCCTGTTTAAATTGAAAGCTAAAAGCCTGTTTGATGTTGTAGCCAATTTGAGAGAAATATTTGAAGGAGAGACAAGGTTCCTGTCTAGCGTGTTACTACTATGATTGAGTCTGCCAAGCGACAAAGTTAGTGCAACAACATTGAACTGTTAATGAGCATAAAGTATGATCATAAAACTTTTTGTGCCTTGAAGCATAATCTCCTAGAGTGCGAGCATGTAGCTGCCTTAGCAACTTTCCAGATCTTATATGAGCAAAAAGCAAATTTGATACATATTTAGATGTTACATTACTACGTACGGCGACGCACATTTGTGTTGTAGTGAAAAATTTAACCCAGCACGGTACGACCCTTAACCTGGAGTCTTCATTGTGTACTGCACAGTAATGGTACTGCACAGTAATGGTACTGCACAGTAATGGTACTCCTCACTGGTACTATGCCCGCGCAGCTAGTACAGTATAGGGCAAGGGCGAGGACGGAGCCCAGGATCCCTAGGCTCTTTTGACATGAGCACTTAATGCATTGAGGTTTATGCAAAGTAGGGCCAAGGGGCTGCTGGATCAATGAATGGATATTAACGGCTGTATCCTTTATGATGGGTGGTAGCCTGCATGGAATGGCCTCACTTTGTTGCCAGCTCAGTGACCATGGCATCTGGTGGTGGCAAAAAGTAGATGCTAGCGAGCTTCGGTGCTTTGTGAATGTCTAGAGACTTTTTACCGGTTTTCCAGCACCAGCAGAACGTGCCACAGTAACATACGTGCAAGCGGGAAGGCGTTCCATCTAGGCCTATACGTAAGGCTGGTCGTATAGATGAATGGATGAACAATTGAAACATAACTCATTGCAGGTTCTTGATTGACGACAGCCTGTACGAGTTACACAAGAGCAGCAAGGCTGCGAAAGACGGCGGTACCCAGAACGGAGCGAGCCCGCTCCCATGCCCTTCTTGCGAGAGCCACGATCCGTAAGCCACAACTCCGCTCATTCCTCTTTTTAAAGAGCAGTTGCCGCCATGATTGGTTCATGCCTCGTCTAACCGATATCTGGTGCACGAAATTACTCGTATACACTTGGTCAGTACAGTATATGTATCTGGGATACCGTGCCTGTGCTACTTGGCACATCAATAGAATTCAGTATTCATTTGACTTACTTATTTGTGCCTCGCTATACTTTATCATCTTTTACTCAAAGCGTGGGTTCTCAAACTGGGTTCCCAGGAGTGGTTCCCCAGAGTTCCCTCAGTGTTCCCAGAGCTCTGAGGTCTCCTCAGCTGATCCTGTCCTGAAGCATTGTTCCAGTTTAAGCACCAATTTCGAAGATCCTAGCCATTTATTGGAGCATAAATAGGACTTGGTGTTTTCGGATAAGTCCGAAAATCAAAAAAAAAAAATGCCCGCCGGTAAAAAGTTTTGTCACCCGAGATTTATCCGATAAACTCCAAATTTTTATGCCCTCAAAAAAAAAAAAAGAAAAGAAAGATGGTATTTTAATTTAGTTGGTCAGCATACAGGGTAAATGGTCCCCAAAAAGAAAATTTCATTCTGGTTTCCTACAAAAACTCGAATCATTGGCAAACAAGTTTCATTCAGGACAACAGGTCATTGTGCTTCTGTGGTTACGACAAGAGCCACTGTAACGGTTTCAAGTTTGGACCATACTATTTGTGTTTCTTAGTGGAAGGAGAGGTTGTGTTTTTGTAACAGAAAAAGCTATGAACCATAGAAATTGCATAAAAGGGGAAAGTGGGGAAAGCTTCTAGTATTTTACACCGTTTACGACTCCATCCCATGCAGCGGTGGGGAGATGAAATAGGATGGAATAAAAACGAGCTTACCAGTGGCTACCTCCAGGAGTTTGGAGAATTTGAGGAATCAACATTTATCGAAGCAGCACTCATTTGCAAGTTTTGCCCTGGGACGGATTAGTATTGCCACGCGCGTCTCCGAGCAAGCGCACTCGTGGCCGAATGGTTATCGTTCTTGACTCGCATGCAAAGGGCCGAGATTCAGTGCCTGGGAGCGGACGCACAGTTTTGTTATTTCTGTAAATGTTGCGTTCTGGTAAATTCGAGAACCCTGTCGCTTGTTCGAAGACCGAATGCTCTCTGCGCCAAACCTTCTACGCCGATTGTTCCAGAAGCCCACACATGTACTTAAGGGGCTCCGCGTGGCAAGTTGGAGTCGGTCTCGCCCCCAGCGCTCGATCCTGCTGTTGCATCGCCATCGATGTGTGCAACGCTAGCCTTCTATTTTGTTTTGAGCACAAGTTCGCTTCATTAAACGTTTAGTTTCCTTCAGTCATTCGTTGCCTCATCAATTGTCATCCACGAAAGTATTGCCAGTGGCAAGGGTGGCAACGCAAATCCAGTTAAGAAATATTATTCAGTACAACGGCATTCTTTTGTTTCTAGCACATGTTTACACCCGGATATTATTTATTCTTATTTCTGAAAAAAAAAAATAGGAAACACTGCTCAAGAATGATGCACGTTCCCCAAGATGGAAAGGTTTAAGATCTAGTCTTTATTTTTTTATTTTTTTACTTTTCCAGGTTGCTCTCTAAAGTGGGCGGCCAACTCACACAAAACGGCAACAGCATCGGGGACTGCTCGGGGTACACCTGACACGTACATCATCCCTGGACGGTGCACCTCCGACGTCGGACCGTCCGAGTGCCAACGTCGGGGGCCATCGTGTCGGAGGAGCTTCTGCAAATGCCAAACGCTTGGGCGCGGTTTCTGCTTGGGACGCCAGACTTTGGGTGACGGGAGTATGTTTGTTCGACTTTGACACAGCTTTTACTGCACGTTACCTCGTTGGTTTGTTTGTTTGTTTGTTTGTTGTTGTTGTTAACCATTTCTGGTAAAGAAGTTTAAAGGGCCAATGTTTCGAGAAAGTTGTCTAGGCACATTTGAGCCGCGGCGGACGTTGCTCCATGTTCTATCTTCCTGTTGTTTGCTCCAAGAGCAAATGTAGCACTCTTGACAACTGGCACTGGTACGAGCGCCATTGTATCCGCTTCAATATTTGAGGTCGTCTACCGCAGCATCGCTTCCCCACTACTTCTCTACAACCTTGTGGTGCAGCCTGGTGCAAACAGTCTCTTGTAGAAATTGTATGCGTAAACAAGCGAGTTGGCTCTCCCACCACAGCAACGCCGTCGAAGATCGTCGAACCATTCCAACTGCCAAAACATTCGGCTGTACCACAAAGTTGGAGCGGCCGTGACCTCTTCACCACCTAGTCCTGCCTTCCATCTCTCGTCAAGGAAACGCTCACACTTCCTAGCTACGCGAATGTAGAGATCACTTCTGGTGTAACCGAGACAATCCGCACATGCTTACACCACTTTACACATCTGACACGGCTCACGCACGCAATAAGTGGAAGTATCATTAAACCTAATATTACACTGCGTTACCTCCTGCTTCCTGGGACGAAGAGAGAGAGAGAGAGAGACTTGCCCGTGCCAAAATACAAACGTATCCGACAGTCGGTTTCGAGTCCTGCCATCTATGTAAGAAACGCCGTGCTTTTTCGAGCTTTGGAAGGCTTCGTTAAAACATTGGGGCTTGGTAGGTTGCCAGGGGATACATTTCCCGATCACTAGGTCGGAAACAAACCAACCTGCATATATGAGGTTTGTTTCCCACAAGTCGCATAAAACGAGACCCTTAGCTCCAAGTCGTGTTACTAGGATGATACGGCAGTCCCAACGAGTTTATGGAAACGAGTTGGAGGGGAGAAAAGTTACGCACAATTTTTTTTTTTTTGCGCAATCTAATTGCAAATACTGGGCCTTCTTTTTTTTTGTTTTCCACGTAAGAGCAGTTGTATAATCTGTTGCAGGTTAATAAAAGTGGGACAAGCTCCTGCCACAAAGCCCTCCACTTGTTCCACTTCGCAGAGTGAGCTGCAGAGAGGAGGCAAGTGGAAAGGAGAAAATTATCGTGGCGAGCGGAGAGCTTTGTAAAAGGAACTTGTCCTGCTGTTCCCTGCAACAGACTGTAGTGAATGACACATTTCACTTTGTTTAGGTTTCTGCGGAAATGGAGCTCGGTACTCCGAAAGAAGTGACTGGCTCTTTAAAGATCAAGACTATTCGTTAACATTCGGATTAGAAAAATAGGAAAGCAGGTAAACTTCTTTTCAGCCGAACGTGAACAATATTGTAGGCCGCGCTTGCAGCACACCGTGAATACATACGTGCCTTGATCGTTCCACCGAGCGAACAAATGCAGACGGTTGCCCTCGTTGAAGCGTTGCATTCCAGTAACCTTGTCTCGTGTACAAAAGAGTGAACGGTGGAGGGTTCAGGGTTCTATTTTCGCTCTGCATTTAGTCTAGTCAAAAGAGTTCACCATTCCCGTCTGTTGCAGACAAGGCAGAGCCAGATCAAAGGATAGTACTATATAGCACTATATGCAGAATGCTTGTTTACATTGTTGCCCCACTACAGCGTAGAGTTGGCTAGGGTGTTTTGCGGAGGGTTGGGTTGGAACTCCTTTTACTGGGTTGGACCTGCATTTTGGACGTTCTTAATAAAGAGGTTTATAGCAAATTGTGTCGTGTCGACTTTCCTGCTGCGGACGGTAATCGTCTGCTGCACGCCGGCATCTGTCGAGCTGTGGAACACATTCCGAGCATATGTGCAGTTGCTCTCTGTGGAACATCGGACAACGCACATTTGTCCGCAGCTCGGCGACTTCATTTTTTGCCTGGGTAAGGCAAAACACTGACAGCGACACCTAAAAAAGTCTTTTTAAGATGCCTAGCGTTCAGCACCCGCTCAAAGCTCGCACAATGCTCAAATGCCATCATAGGTAGGAAGCCTCTGCTGGAGGCAGAACAACCGAGACCTTCCCACCGTCCTCATACTGTCGGGGATGAGAACGGCAGGTTGAGCACAAGATCGGTAGAGGGGAAACACTGTATGAAACCATTTGCCGCAAGAACCCTCAATTGCAAGGACTAGCGTTCTCCGTGCTTGCGCGAATAACGAGTGGAAACTGGCTTTATAGCTCGTGCGAGACTTTATAACTATGCAAAGAGCAAGTTCGTCTGCTTCTTTTGCAGGGGTTGTGATGACGTCAGAACATCGAGCCCTGGCTCCGATTGGAAAGAGTGGGTAGACCTCAAGGGAGCTTGCTTGGAGGTCTAATCACTATTCTTCAATCAGAGCTTTGCGTTCCGACGTCATCGCAACCCCTCCAAAAGAAGCAAACGAACTTGTGCTCCGCATGCCCAACACCAGTTGCTTTATGCTATGCCTTCGAGGCTAGCATCGCTTCACGGTCCAGCAGCAGGGGTGCGGTCACATTGCCACGAAAGCATGTGGCCGCGTCGCGCATCTCCTTCGTACGTGCTCTTGCGAGTAGTTTAGACTGCATTGGAGCATTATGAAAACTACGCTAGCCTCAGCAACTAGTGGGTAGACCTCAAGGGAGCTTGCTTGGAGGTCTACTCACTATTCTTCAATCGGAGCCAATCAGAGCTCGGCGTTCTGAAGTCATCACAACGCCTGCAAAAGAAGCAGACAAACTTGCGCTTTGCATACCCAGCACCAGTTGCTTTATGCATGCCTTCGAGGCTAGCATGGCTTCACGGAGCAGCAGCAGCACATTGCCGCGAGAGCACATGGCTCTGTCGCGCATCCCCTTCGTACGCACTCTTGTCAGTAGCTTCGAGTGCATTGGAGCACTACGAAAACTACGCTAGCCTCAACAACTCGGTACGAAATAGTCAACGCCGAGATGTTTCGGTGGCGCCCTTTGTGGCTTCCATTCGCGACGTCGTGACCAAGATTTGCCTCGCTGCAACGTCACAAGTTGTAATCCTAGCTACTTGTCTGTTGCGAGCTAAGAGTTCAATGGTGTGTATAAAAAGCTCGGACTCCTCGCATTTCTTAAACCAGCATTGTCAAAGTTGACAGTCCACCATTGTTCATATTTCTATCGCTAAAAAAAAATTCAGATAAGGACGAAGCAAGCGTTTGGTACATCTCAAATGCCGATCATGGCGACGTTTTTGGTTGCCAATGTGTATGGATAACTCAATTGTAAGTGAGCTCCAGTTTACCTGTCAACAAGCTGGATTGTGTGTATTGCAAATAATAGTGGAAGCTCGCTGTCGGCACTCACTTGACAGCAACAAACACTACTGCTGCAGCCAGTGAACACCAATCATACCTTTAAGGGTGTCGATTACAGCATTTGTCTAGATTTCTTATTTGCCAACAAGGGATGGTAGATATCGGGTAGGCAGTAGCCAGTATATGGTGTGAATGTGAACATTCACATGACAAAAGTAGGTGCCAAAACCTAAGCGAATACTTTGATGAGAATGGCTTAAACTGCCATTAATTTTGAATTGTTAATATGCAACCTTGACCATGCTCAACTGGATCCGAGAGAGTTGCGCATTTGGAGCTCATCCAGGGCCAAAGCACTAATTGTCGATTGAGGCCAGCACATTTCTAAAGTCAATTTTTGGAGGCGCACATCGCCAAGCACACACAGCGCACCCCTGCAAAGAGGAACCACCAGAGTAAAATGCAATTCCATACACTTCGTCTTTATTCACTTCATTCCTTAGACAAACAACACTTTCAGGAAGAGCAGCATCACCGTGCTGTACTTTGAAAGCCACTAGGAATACAGGCCGCGACGACCCCACCGGCAGGGCGGCGGTCACGGGGCAGAGATCTCTCGCAGATTCTCGCATTTCGCTTCGGAGGGTTGTGGCCCCAGATTACCGTCGTTCCTCCCTCGCAAAACGCGGTCCCTCTCACTTCAAATTACGAGAGCCCAGCTCTCTTTAGATCGCAGGACACACTTTTGTTTTATTTTTTTCCCCTTAAATTCAATTTGCAAGTAGGCTCGAAACGACCTCTGAAGAGGGAGATTGCACGCCAGATATTGCATCTTCGCTAGGCCCCCCCCACGCACCCCGTTTCGGAAAAGGGCATGGAACAATGCGTGCCGCTAGAATGCAGTTACGAATTTGTACCGTGCACCGCCAGCTCTTCGGTCCTGCTTACGGTGCCCAGAACATTTCTTTGGCCGGTGCGGTTGGCATCCTAACCCCGCTGGTGCGTCGAAACTAATCCCAAAGGGGCAAAGTACAACGTCGCAGAAGCCGGCATGCCACGCTGTTGGACGTCGCCATCCCGGCAGCGGTGCTGAGGACCACTTTTTAGGATCGCACCTGTCGAAGGTGCCTTCTGGGCGCCGTAGTTCTGCCCTCCTTATGCCATTCAAGGCGCCGACACACGCGCAACCCTTCTTTCGGTGAAAATACGAGGTGCTTTAAGAAGAACGGCGGGAGGAGGAGTGTTGGAGTGTATGTAGATACTACGCACCAGTTTGTACTTGGAAAATACTGAGGTTGACGGGGAGTAGTCCTTCGCTTCTGCTCCACCCCTCCTCTCTATCTCTGGACAGGACGCTTTGGCAAGAAGGTTGCGAGAAAGGGACGGGATGCGATCGGATAGTCGGTGCTGCTCGCGAAGTGGTGCCGGAGGCAAGGAGACCGCGCACAAGCTTGGGCCTCGAAAAGCACTGGACAGGACTGAAGGAACAGATGCCAATTCACTTTCAACCTTGAAACCGTTTGTTTTTGTAAACATTTTTTGCCTTGTGCGACGTAACCATAAACACTTACTCGATTCTTTTTCTTTTTTTTTTATCGGTCATACACTGTATTTGCAAATCATAACCGGCATGCCACTGCTGCCTCAAACTAATTTTCAAATACCTAGAACAGAGCTGCCGACTTCTTGTCACCCGTAAGAAAACGGGACGACCGGTTTGAAGCAGTCTAGTCCTCGAGTCGAATAGGAGTCCCTGGATAACCCGTGATCACTTTTTGTGTAGGCTCTTGATGTAAAAGTGCAGCGAGGGCCAGTCACAAATGCAGGTTTGTGGTTTCGAAATATGCATTCGGTGCATGAATGCTCGTTCAGTAGTGGCATTGACGCACGCCTGTAACCTTCAATGCGTGCTCGTTTGGGTAAGACTGGAAACAAAACTAAAAAAGAGTGCTTCGAAAGGTGTGCTCAAAGACATTCCGAATCCGAATTCCACCCGTAGTGGCGTTCCGAAAGGTTGGCAAAGGGTCACGGAAAGGAAAACAGACTATGTGGCAACCAAAAGGGAACTTTTAAGAACCATCTCCACTGGTCGGCAGCTTTTGTTAGAGCGCATCTGTTGGTCCCTGGGGGCTTTTAAAACTTTGTTTACTCGTAAGGAACGCCTCCCAAGCCCCCGGATTTCGTCCCCAGCCGCACAAATTGCAACGCTTTCACCGTGCTGCAGTGAAGTGTGCCTTCGGGAGGACAAACTGACTGTTTTCATTAAACTCCCTCCCAAACCGCACAAAAAATAAGGGGGGGGGGGGGGGGGGGGGGGGGGCACAGGAAAACATTTATGGCGCTCTCTCAAAAGCAAGTTGCGCCACAACAGCACCGGTGAACGCAATAAAGTAAACAGGGAAACAAAAATACAAAAAAAAAAAAAAAAACCTTCAGTGACAAGATTTTTTTTTAGGCTTTCGGAAATTAACATAGTACATGTCACAGGTAGTAGCAATACAGTATTTTGTATTTACATAAGAAAAGGAGAAGACCCGGACATCTCCTGCTATTCTTTCAGGTACATATTTTGTTTTTGCCACCCCTGAACCCCACAAGAATGTATGCACATCGTGTTACACATTTGCAAGTATATGCACACTTCTTTTTTTCCCCCTCCAACGACTATAATGTACAGACCCTCGAAGAAGCGAACGAAAGGCTGCTCGCCCGACAGAATACAATTTCTCCGAAAATGTAAAAAAAAAAAAAAAGAAAGACGGGACAGTAAAGTGGAATGTCGTTTTGCTAATGCCCACATTCAAGATCTACATCTAAAGAACATGCTCGGTCCTTGAATTCTGCACGCAGTACGGCTACGAGATTCGAGACGCACCAACCCGGCCGTCTATGAATGTCGCCAAAAATCCGCGCAACATGCGAGCCAACCGAAATAACTGAGCTTCAGCATTTCTGCAGAAACAAGCGAATGGTACCGAGGGCCCGATTCTGTTGGCAAGGAGAGATGCAATACCAAATGATAAATCACACGAGTCTTCTTTAGACGAAAAATTAACACAGACAAGCAAATTGTGCAGTCGTAAATGCAACTCTGGAAGTATTGCTGCAAACAAAATGGTATCCTTCTGCATTTTTTTTTTTAGCTCTAAATGAGAGCTTCGTTTTGCAAGGACAAAAGCGACATTCTTTGGCTATTAAGAAATAGTAAAAAAAACAACAGTTGTGAAAGTCAAAGGCGGGTGGGTGGTGGGAGACGCACCTCAATACAGCACCCTTTCAAATGCACGCACGCACAAACACAAGACGCTCACTCACAAACAACCAGAAAAAAAGAAGTGCCGCAAAACATTCTCGTCGCTGGATGACATCCAGGATTTGCAAGTAACATTGACGACCACGCAAAATAATCAAGAAAAAAAAAACGTAAAAGGCACAGACTAGAAACGGTATGACATTGTGTGAAGACCCGGTACACATTCTGACTGAAGTCTAAAAAAAGAAAAGGGGGGAGAAGAAAAATATATATATATAGAAAGCATGCTCTTCAACAAACATTCAGAATAAAGCTCTGTTTGTGCCCGATACGAAGGGCACTCGCGTTGCTACTATGCTAATGCACGGCAAAACAATTAGCATAGAATTATGTACACCTAAGAGGGAGACAAGATTAAAAAAAAAATACAGGAAGCCGTAACCCAACCCTCACCCCCGCCCAGCAAAGCGAAGTCATTTCGCCTATCTTTTAATGCCCGCAATTGCGTTCGTCGTCACTTGCACATTCTAAGGTCTACGTAATCGCAGTCGTCACACTGTTCGCCGAAAGTTAAGACTACTCGCAGGTTCGGAGCACCTGGCCAAGAAGGAACAAAACTGGGACAAAATGAGCAAGCAGATGGAAAGAGGAGGACGTAAGAAAATTGGAAGAGTCTCAAAAAGAAGCGAGGACATCAACTTCATTCTGATCAAGCTGCTCATAAGAACTTGCTTGCAAGCAAGCTAAGATGGAATCGAATAAGAGAAAAGCTGGGCTATCTCTACACACCCAATCAAGGAAGTTTTTTGCTGAAACGTCAAGTACAAAGATGTCACAAAAAAAGAAAATGAGGAAACCACAACACGGCCACTCCCGACAGCTTTCCACATGCTTACAAGATGCCCACACTTGGTCTTGTTTCTTGGCGGCACAGAGCTCGAACTAGGCTCCATTCTGACTTCTTCCAAGAGTGGCACAGGTGTGCTCGTCAGTCTGCGCAGCTTTCGAGACTGCGCTCGCATCGCCGCAAAAACACTAGCTTCCACTACAAAGTTCTGCATCAGCCTATGGCAACAGCTTAGCACTCCCAGGTCCGCCTAGGACACTAGCTTCCACGACAGTTCACGCATGCGTCGCCCTACCACGACCTAGTGATTGGTACACTATGTTCCAGTTCAAGTACTTCCCCAAAACGCTAGCTTTCGTGACAGGCTTAGTTCACCTCCCCAGAGCACTGGCTCCCGGGAAACGGTGAAGATTCAGCCGGGTGAGTTGCACGGCCATCTTCGAAACGGAAGGACACCCAGCTAAACGAAGGGCGGGAGAAAAAAAAGGCACGATGTAAAAAGAAACGCAGTCTGGTTCCTTTTGTAATGCCCTGCAGACTCCTAAAAAAAAAAACAATTTACCAAAGTGGGCGACCATCTGGATGGAACTCAAGTCTCATTCGAACGGCAGGTTTAGTACATGGAACGACTCTCTTTTAAAAAAATAGCTTTCTTTTTTTTAAACGAGGCTGTTGATAGGGACTCGACATGTCACCCGTCGAGACGAGGGAAGACAATGCGGGGTCGTCGCGCGCCGTACGCGGAGCCATTGTCTGTTGCTTGGTCGCAAGAAAGGGGTTAAGTTAGCTTTCGCCGTCAAGCACTGGACGAAGAATCAACGTCGCCTTGTCGGGTCTACGAGAGAGGAAGAGCTGCCTAGGGTGCGTCGCGATTAAAGGTGTCCCAAATTCTCGAGATGCTCCACGAACGAGGGCTCCCCCATCGAAAAACAACATTTTCACGAGCTCCAAAAATAACTGTTCCAGCCGCGTTCGTAGGAGTGGCGACACGTCGTGGCACTTGTGAGGCACACGTGACATAAAACTTAAAAATCCTTGTTCCAGGACTTGCACGTGGCACGCCGAGTTTCCCTTCCGACATTAATCGGGAAAAGGGCCGTTGCCCGCACACGAAAACATGTCGCCCGCCCCCACAATGCTTGTAATTCAAGCCGAGCGGAAACGACCGCGGCCTCTCTACTTCACCATTTGAGAGCTGCCAAGAGCCCCGTCGCTTCAACAAACCAGCCTGTGCAAATCGCAAAAATTGCAAAAGAAAATTTGGGCACCTCTTATTGAAAAAAAAAACAAAAAACCTCCAACATTCCAACACAAAAAAAAAAAGCCAACTATGACAGGCGACACACAACACTGAGAAATGCCTCGGGTAAAAGAATGACAAACGAGAGCATGACGTCTTCCAAAACTATCTTTTGTGTCCCCAGTTTCAAGCAGTTTTCCCTCAACTAACACCACTTCTCTCTCTTTAGTTCTTCACAAAAAACAGAAAAGGAACGAAAGATACCAAAGAGTAGTGCACCATGTTACAGCCGGCTCCTTCCCACGTTGGAACAGCATGTTGGGGTTCCGTGACGTAGTGTCCGAGGTCAGAGCTCTGCTACATAAGGATCGAAAGTCGGACAGTGATGTTGGAAGCTTTGACATCAAGATTTGAAGATGGGAGGTCCACCTTGAAACTTGAGGTCGGAACTTCAGAGCCGGAACACTCGTGCAGCCACCGTTGGTTGTCTGCCGACCCCGGAATCGAGGCCCTGCGTCGGGTGAATGAAAGCACCGGAGCTTTGTTGAAATCCGACGTCGGAGCAAAACTTGTCCGCCGCTCCGGGGGGGGGGGGTCTCACTGAAGCCTCTCGTTGAGTAGGAAGGGGTCGGTCCCTGGTGGTGCCCTCTGGACCCCTTGGAAGGGGTTCCGCACGAGGGGGCAGAAGGCGGATCTTTGGCTTGGCCGCAGCACAAACTGGCTGTTCGGCTTGGAGATGCTGTCCGACGCATCCCCCGCCATTGGCACTGTGGTGTGTTTTCTGCAGAGAAGACCGATGCAACCCCCATGATCGGGCTACGCTCGCTTTTCTCCGGTGCGAGGTATAAACTCGTTATAACAGACCTTGATAGCGACAAAGATTCTAGTCCGTTACATAACTAGTGTGCAGAATGCAGATACTCTTACTCTGACACAGATTACAACTGGAGTCTGTTCTGACCGGTAAAACTGACAAAATGTGAATGGGGATTAGAAAACAACTGGTTTATTGATAGCTCTAAACTTTGGAATGTAGCAATTCTTTATTGAGCTGTATCAGCAATCGTCGTCACCACGCGTTTTGGACCGCTTGGGGCTCGCAAGGGGCCAAGCGAGATCACATCGCATTGCAAAAGGGATGTCACCACTAGCGTACCAAAGCTGCACAATGTCCGACTGCTGTTGAAGAGTCAGCTATAATGGAATGGTAAACTACTTACAAACTCCCTCATGTAGTCCATCCTATTCAAAAGTATGTTATAACAGAATCTGTAATAAGTAAAGGTGGCTCTATGGCATAGACAAGATCGACCAAACTTCACAAATCGGTATGTTATAACTGAATGTCTGCAGTACCCAGATCGGTTATAACGAGGCTATACTGTACCGACTGAACATCGGGCTACGCTCGCTTTTCTCCACCGACTGATTTTGGGCAAACAGTCGGATGCTTTCAATATTTTCCGCAGTTCTTCAAACGTGGAAATTAACATTGACCTACCGGGCTAACCACAGTGCCAATGTCTACAACTGCTTACATCTACAACTCGGCCAATAAACTGCCAAAGTCTACGACTGCCCGCGAACTACTTCGCCAGTGAACTGCCAACATTGCAATTGCCAGTGAACTGCTAACGTCTACAACACGGCCAATGGACTGCCAACGTCTACAACTTCCAACAAACTGGCCGACAAAACTGCCAATGAACGAATATGCCCGACAACCTGCCGAAGTCTACCACTCCGCCAACAAACTGCTGTCTACAACTCGGCCGCCGAATGGGGCGAGAGATGGCACACCGACCTGCCCTCGTCGATGATCTTGACCTTCTCACAACCGTCGGGGGGTTCCCTGGCCAGGAACTTGTTGATTCGGGGGCTGGTGCCCAGCTTGCTCAGCTGGCCGCCGCCCGCGTCCGGCTCCGGGGAGCCGCTCTTATCACAGTCTGCGCACCGAGACAATGCGACACCTTCATTCTGGGAAACACCCCTGCGTCGCACGGGCGAGCTACGCTCCCTCTTGCACACTGCGTGCAGTGCCTCCAAGATCCGGATTTTTCGTACCGTCCCCTTAAGGTAATGTCATATAAACAAACCAATGAAAAAAAAAATAGCATGCGGATGCATCTCTCGAAATATTGTGCCCTTTTCCTCCACTGGGCTCCTCCTCACTTCTTCCTCATGCAGTGACGTACAAGGTGAAGGAATATAGAGCTTTTGCAACTAACGTTCCTGTCGCTTTTAATAACGACATTTATTAAACATACTTTTTATGGCTATTCCAAATGCATTATGCCACTCGTTTCGAAACTTAAAGATCTGAGCCCGGAAGTGACAGAAATTGGTGTTTTTCCTTCTCCTTGCTTTCTGCGGGATCTCAATATGAAAACTGCTGGCGGCCAGCCTAGCTGCGCTGCGAGCAAGCGGAATATCAGCGGCGGCTCGAATAACGTCTGTGTAACCTCATACACTGCGTGGCATCGTACACCGCAGATCCCCGATACACTCCATTGTAGACTGCATGACATCACACACTACGTGATATCATACGCTGCCGATGTGTGCGTGACCTTATGCAATATGTGCAGGATTCCGTGTTTTCCGAGTTTATCTCTCGTGAAATTCGGAGGGTGTTTCTTGGAGTTTATTTTTTGCTGAAAATTCAGGGTTTATCGGAGTTTATTTTTTTAGATTCCCAATTTCTTGAAATTTTTAAATTATTTTACTCTTATATATTTTAAAAATTCAAAAATGAAATAAATAAGTCCGGGTACCATGAGCTTTTATCCTAGACCAGAGGTCTCAAAATTTTAGCGTAGGGGACAGACAGCCCACCCCCGACAGGTTTAGCGCCAACCTACGGAAGAAGGGAGGGCGGGGTCGTGAGATTTTGTAGAGGTGGAACCTCAGCTCTCTTTTTAATGTTGTAAACTAGCAATTTTGTTAGTGACATCTTCAGCTTTAATTTTCCTACGACTCTTTTGGGCCCTTGCCTGATGTGAAAACAAGAATTAAAATGGAACCGCTCCTACGAGAGCAAGCGCACTGCCGTTTCTGTTGATCAATTCACTCGGGAATTAGGGTAATCGAGCCCAACGTGTCTAAAAAAGAAGAAAATCTCTTCATACGACAGTTCTTGCACTTCTGACGAGCTTTTTAGCAGCAGTCTGAAAAAATTCTTGTAGTTTAATGGTGATATTTTTTGAAGGCGAAAATCTCAAGCTCTTAGCTTTATCTTTGACGGTTGCTCTGCTGAGCGAGAGTTTGTGCATCAAAAGTGCGTCCTTGAGCAAAGTGCTCACGCTTGCAGCCTAGTGGCGGAATTGAGACTACCATATGACAAAAATCTCGGAAGCAAAAATTATAAAAAAGTTATCAGAGCAGAGCTAAGTCTCGAGCGGAAATGAATTGGCAACATGAGATCATTATAGCGCATGCCATTTCTAGCACTCAAGGGACGGGGTCTTGCAGCTGGTTGTCTGCGGGCCGCGTCCCAGCGAGTCACGGGCCGCAAGCGGCCCGCGGGTTTGAGACCCCCGTCCTACAGGAACCTCAACGTGCTAGGCAAACTCCTTTTGTCAGTAGTTCTAGATTTCAAAGGAAACTGAAGTGGCATGTCCTCAGGACCACTGACCTTGTGCTCTTATAGTTTATTTGTAAAACACCGTCCTTCTATTTATTTTTATTTCGTCAACGTAACTTCAAAATTCAGAGTTTTTCAGATAAATCCAAATCTATGAAAAATTTATCGGCTAGCGTTTTTTGGATTTTTTTCGGATTTATTCGAAAACACGGAACCCTAAATATGCAACATCCCACACTGCATCATACACTGCAGGTATGTGCCTGCACCTGAAATGCATCAGACCTGCAGATATGTGCCTGCGTCTCACCACACTGCATCTTACACTGCTGATGTGTACATGACCTACCAGGGCTGTCGGGCCTTGAGGTGCCGTGAAATGAGGCACTGTTTGGAAGTCCCTCGCTGCCGCTCGGGGTCTGAGTGTCCACGCTACACGTGGAGTGAAAAAGCTCCGCAATCGGAGCCCTGTGGCCCTCTGGGGTGGGGCCCATCACCTGCGTGGCACACGCTCCCGCAATGACTACCGTATTTGCCCAAATCATTCTCGACCCTAGTGTACTCTCCCTGATAGCCCGCTGATGTCGTGCACAAACGAGAAACAAAGATGTCAACTGCAGCACACAAATGCCACCCTCGGCGAACGGCAGAAGGGCTGCAAGCCACTTATGAGGTATCTATTTCCCCATCTGGCTCGTACAAAAAGGAGGAAACTAGGACGAAAATATCGCTGCCACAGCTTGACGAGGTCATCTCCCGGACACTTTCGGGAAAAGCAACATTGTAAACCAAAATTTTAGAAAAACTTACCGTAAAATACCGAGCAAGCGCCCACTCAAAATATGAAGATAATCGCAAAAATTGGGGAATGAGCGCTTGTTAGGTCATTAATTTTACATATATATCTACTGAGCATATTTTTTCAGATGTTGCAAAATTTTGGGGTGGGCACTTAGTAGGGAATGTGCGGATGCTCGGCATTTTACCGTAAGATGAAAACACAAACACGAGCACAGCTGTTCACATTACTGCAATTATACATACTCGAAAAAAAACTAAAACAGAAACACAAGCACTACTCGTACCATTGCACTGATAGGCACTTGCAATGCAAAAAGCAACTGGAAATTCATACTACATGGCACTGCACACATCACATGAAAAATTACATTGCAATACAATGTTTAACATTTTATTAAATTTTCCAAAGATGTTCGCAGCATTTGCTCTCACTTGATTAAGTAACGATAGCAAAGTGTGCTGTAATGATGCTGAACCATAACTGCTATGGGGTTTGAACAATCTCCACATCTCGCCATGATGTACGGCATGCTTTAGGTGTAAGTATGACAAGCATAATAAGGAAGAAAAAAAAAAAAACGTTCAGCCTTTCCACTCTCGTGAAGAAGGAAGACCAGCGTAGCTGTACTCGATACACTGTGTGCTTCTTCTTCGTCATCGTCTGTTTTTCGCGCCGTTTCCTACGATGAATTCCCATTAACGCGCCCAACTATCCATTCTTCTACTATAGCTGGAAAGGTTGCCGCCATCTACGAGTGACGGCGAAAACCATACTGGTTGTGTGCTTGCCGCCGTCGCTTATAGATGGCGGTAGCTGTCCAGGTAGGTTTGTGTCGACATACACGGACACAATTCTGGGGAACCTAGCCCTTAACAGCTCGGCTGTAAAATTATTTCCACATCTTAATGTCACATTATAGGTCACCAGCAAGGCTTAAGCGTGGAGTTTGATCTTTTCACTGCGGTCACATGTAGGTTGCATTGTGAGTTTCTTGAGTTTGGCTCATTCGAGATAATGAAATGCTGCAGTCAGCAAACCATAAATGGTCAGGTGATATCCCACACCGCTTGGTGATAGTCCCAAAAATGTAGAGGGGAAGGAAATTGGCTTAAAAGAGCAAGGCAAAGAATCATACTTTTTGGTTCTTTTGGTTTCTAGGCTAGGTGGCACAAACTATCGCCCGTTATAAAAGGCACAGCCGTTAGCGTCCATCTATCCATCCAGAGTGTGTCGAGGCTCTAAAGCATGCGAAGAACCATGGCACGCACCCTTTCCAGTTCAGCCTCGTTTTCGGTACCAGCTCCGGAGATTCCCTTGAGCACAAGGCGTTCAATCTCCTGTGGAAAAACGAGATAACAAGGGGCTCAGTGTACTAATAGTGAGTCAATGCATACAACTTGACCATTTCAAACCTCGGCCGAGACGTGCAGCAGGCGAAACACAGTAAGGCACGAGAAAGGCGTTATTTCCAAAAAATGTTCATTCCACACCAGAAACTCCTCATGGCTAGAGGTGGCACTTTGAAAAATATGGCAAGCATTCAAATTTAAGTCATAAAAGAACTGGCACACCCCAACGACGACGTGTACAGAGCGATGTTCCTCGCACAATACCCTGGAATCTTTATGTCCTTGGTGAGTTTTGATACAAAAGACACGTACAAGCGAAGAGGTAATCTATCCGTGCGTGTTTTCGAGCACACAAAAAGTTCTGCGTGCCCAAAAAGTCTCTTCATTATAGACGGCGTCAACATTTTTAGGCTGCGTTGTCGAGGCTAGCCTAGATTCCAGTGCTGCAGCCCCGCGCTGTGGAGTGAGCGTGTGGCTTCGTCTTGCAGCTCGTTAGTGTGCACCCGCACAAACAGCTTCCATGGCACTGCGCAAGCTACACTATCCTTGACAACGTAGCCCAAAAAAAGTCGACATTGGGTACAGTCACGGCAGTTGTGCTCCCCATATGTATGCACAAACTATCCCAACAATCAATTATGCAGATCAAGTCAAAACAAACGTGTGCCGAGCATGTCCACACCCGAACAAAGACTGCTCGATTCAGCCGATCTCAATCTCGATAGTTCCGCCATTCCAAATCGTCCGTCTTCACCAAGTTGCTAACTGCGTAAATTTGATTGTTTGGTTGATCGCTTAATTTTGATTATTCAACCAATCGCATTATTTCCGTTGTTCGGCCAGTTGCCTAATTTGATCGTTCGGCCAGTTTCCTCCGACCTTGACCGTTCGGTTGATCCCGGCTGTTTTCCCCAGTTGCCGGATCGTGCCGATCGCCAAATGATGCCTACCCGTCCCCGCTCCCCACCATATGCTTCGATCCACTTGCCTGGTTGAGGCCCTCCACGCTGCTGCGCATGCGCGGCAGCGCAGAGCCCCGTCCGGGCCCCGAGCGGGCAGGGATGGAGATGGGGCCCGTGGGGTTCCCGGGGGCCGCGAAGGGGGACGTAGAGGGAGATGCAAGGTGGGCCTGCTGCTGCTGGGCCAGACCTCCAAGCTGGTGGTCCCCCTGGACGGGGCTCCAGCGGGGGGACGTACGGCCACCCTGGGTTGCCGTCCTCTGCAGCCTCTGCCGAATGTACTGCGCAGAGAAAAGGGGGGGTACGGATTTACCCGACTGCCCGGGAGTTGGTCGCGGCAGATGGGTGAGAGAAGGAGAGCGAGCGATCTACAATGTGGCTTTATTTTGTGAGGAGGGGGTCGCCTGCCTTGGCAAAGTTATTTCCTCGATGTATGAACAGCCAAACTGGCTCTCTTCTAGCCCCAAGGGGTCCTGGGTTCGACTCGTCCGCCTGGTTCGAATCCCAGACTAGGTGCCTACGGTACGATTGAAATTTACTGCGGAGGAGGCCCTACAATGATAGGTTTTGGTTGTGTGTTAAAAGATTCCAGCATAATCAAAATGGATTTCCAGACCCCCACTGGAACATGTTAGATGCTTTTGTTGGTCTAGCCTGTAAACTCCCAAAATTGACTAACTTTCCAACTTATTTTAGACACTCACACAGCCCTCTCTGAACTATCTTGACCTTTCTCCTGCTTCATTTATTTAAAAAGAAGAAATGTAAAAATCATATTTGTTGTATGGAGGTTTAGACAGCAAGAACTTAGTCTGCTTTAAAATGGAGTCTTTGCTGCAGATGAAAAATTTAGCCAGAGCAGCAGAAATGATAACATCGTCTTTAATACATAACACTGCATGACACAAGCTGAAGACCCCAAGTTACTGCTGTAATGGAATTTTGTTTTAATTCACATTGACAAAAAGCACACTCCTGTCAAGTAGGGCGACCACCTTCTGGCTCTGCTAGCACATTTAATATCCTGTGCTCTCCAAAAGCGTATCACACACCTGCAAATTGTATTGTGGCAATTAAGCTCAAATAATTTTTATTCCCAGTGATTATATATATGTATAAATTTCTTTTTTAACGCCAAATATGTTAGTAAATCTGCCTAAGTTGCAAACATAAAAATCGACTGCAGCAGAACTCAACGCATCAAAAGAAAAAAAGAAACAGTACACAGAAAAAATTTCAGAATAATTACAATAATTTATTTTTCAACTTTTGGCGAGCAATGTTCTCTTCCAATGCTTGCCATCCAGGGAAGAGGCACAACGGCGCAAGCACATCGGTTCTTCTGCAAGAACAACGGTCGCTTCCTGCAATGCTCGGATAGGAAATGGCGTACCATTGTGATTCGAACGGTTACCAGCGACCTCTGTGCTTCCCCGTGCCCCGTTCATTGTTCAGCAACGCCATAAGTGACATAGCGAATTTTACGACACTGCGAAATGCAGGACATTTTGAGATTTTGGTATTTCTTGCGAGACATGGGACATGAGCCCTCAATGCGGGACAGTCCAGCGAGTCATCGGAAAAGTGGTCACCCTACCGTTAAGTGATCCCAAATAGTAGTGCACAACTCTGGGGCATGGGTTTCCAAATGGGTTCCTGCAGTGGGTTCCCCAGAGTCCCTACACTCATGAATTCAACAAGCTTTAAAATTTTCTCGACTGAGCTTGTCCTTTGGTAAAGTGTTTCTTTTGTTTCTTTGCTCGCTTAAGCTCTATTTCACTAGACCTGAGCCAAGCATGTATGTGAAAACCATGAGAAAATACACTCCCTAGGATGCGTATCGTTTCTGAGGCCTCTAGGCTTCTGCAGTTCTTCACTGCATGAACGCCTAGACCAAGAGGGGATCCTTGGCTATCAGTCAAGGCAGACAGCTATTCCTTAGATTGAAAAGTACGACAATTCCTGCCCTGGACAGTTAGCAGCAAACCGGGGATGCGAAGAGCGCGGAAAATTGGCAGTGCCTTCAAAAGTTTCGGCCAAACTAATGGGACTGAAACTGGAAACAGAAGGAAGCAATGCAAGCAAGCAATTAGATTGTGACCGGGCATTTTAAGTGTGTAAGCACACAAGCTGACAAGCTTGCCTTCATTTCTAAGGAATCTCCCGAGGCAAGGGTGGTCTTCTTCTGGACGTACTTGATCCTGTCCACCTCCTTCCAGTCGTCCGACGTCTGCACGGGAAGGAACCAATCAGGAACGAGAAACATTGCACACATTTCTCAAAAGCAGGTATGTTCCACGGTCCTTGTAACTTTTTGGGACAGGATTCCGTTACAGTCAACTCCTTGACTATTTCAAAAGGAATAGATTACCGTTACCAGTTCTGCAGGTTAAAAAGCAATGCATTATGCATTCCCATTACCACTTTTGTTGGTTCAAAAGCAAAGCATTACAGTTGCAGTTCTGTAGGTTCCGAAGGGACTCACTGCTGTTACCAGTTCGAGGATTGAAAACGTATGCCTCACTGTTACCAGCTTTCGAAGTCTGAAAAGGCATCCGCTTTCATTACTAAGTTTATAGATTTAAAAGGGATGCGTTACCATTATGGTTCCAGGAACAGAACAGGTTGTTATGTTTACATTACATTAATATATTTCTATAATGAAACTGTATGTACTAAAATAAAAGTCTAAGTAAAAAAAAAAAAAAAAAAAGCTAGAAATAGAACTACATTTTGCTCATTGGGAAATCTTCCTCTGAAATCAGTTGGAAGCTAGAAAGGCTAGGAAAAGTATGCGGACCTGCCTTTTAAAGAGGAGTATGTTTATCAGGGTGTCCAGCAAATTATTCTTTCGAAATTCTCCGAGTTTTCCAGGTTTTCCCTGACGATTTCAGGTGAAATTCCCTGACCACTCTAGAGGCGGTTAAATATATAAGACCATTACAACACAAGGCATTGGGCATTGAGCACAATGAGGATTATTTTGCACGGGCCTAATCTAACTGCCATATTCCGAAATATTTGGGTTCGTCTAGTCCAGATTAAACGAGCACTTTCTTGCCGCTGACATTGCCAGTGAAGACGCCACTTCTGGAAAAACGATGAAAACACGACGCTCAACCACACACGTCAATAACCAAATGGCAACATGGCCGCCGGATGCACCTTCGGATACTTTCGGATTAAGGCTTGGATTGGATTGCAGCCTGCGGCTTTCCCATTTGTTACTAAATCTAGTAGCTCTAACTGGATCCAGTTTAGTGTCGCGCTCTCAATCCAATCCAATCCATGGCTTGAACTGGATTTGTCGGTTGTTCTCTTTGCATCGTGTAGCACACTCTACATGGGGGAGCAGAGCCCGCGCCTCACTCTAAGCAGAATTTATTGCCTATATTTCTGCCCCCAAGTCCTCAAGTCTTTGCTCAGGGCACTCGATGGCGTTTTCGGCTCATTTTCCCTGACTGGGCTCGCTTTTTGACAATTTCCCTGACAATTCTCCGATTTTTCCCGGTAATTAAAATTTCCCTGACAATTCCCGGTTTTCCCGGTCGCTAGACACCCTGGTTTATGCAAACTTGGGCAGGGAAAAAGTTACCTCGGCCCGTTTGCTCGAAGCCGGTTATGACGATTTACACCGAATCTTTTATACGGGGAAGGCCAGCATGCGCAGAACATAGAATTACACTCTCAGCATTCTCCTTTGATGCTTGGGTAATTTAGTAATAGGCCTATTTTCACTGGAGCTGAATTACATGGTTTTCAATTTATGATGGTGTTATATACAGTTCTTGCATGCTGGTCAACCAGGCCGCGAATGTACCGCCCGCCTTTCAGTGCTCACTTCTTCCTCATTGTTTCTAGTACTGAACTTTGCCATCCTCTTTCGAACATGGAAGAAAATTTTAATAAGCTTGTCTTCACTTCAAACAGCCAAACATTTAGAAATTTTCCAAACAAGGGTCAAATTAGTTTTACCTTACCCTATATCTGTACTACGAGCAACAAAAAGTGTTCCTTAAAGGGAAACACCAAGCAGTTCTGTATTTGAGGAGAAACTCCTAAATAGTCTTCATTTGGTGTCCAGGATCACGAATGTCGAGGTTATGTTTCAATTTGGTGCACGGAGGCTGCAGAACTTAATTTTCAAAGTACCACTGAAGCCCCTCCTTCCCTGGGAGTGACTTCATATTAGGAGTTTTCGGAATCTCCGCTCTCTTGCATCTTCAGCGCTTGTCAAACCTATCCACGAGCACTCTTGCCATTTTCAAAAAGGTCAGAAAGAGATGTCATGACTGGTGTCAGTGCGGGGGAAAATACCCGACAAGCTTGCAATGTCATGCGCTGCCCACACAAGCGACACGCACTTGGCGGCCCAAAGATCCTAGTACGACGTCACGACTGGTCAGAGGCTTTTTGTGTTTTCTCACGTGTAGTTACATCTTCGGGCAAAACAAACCTAATATTCAAATTCACGGAATAAATATATGTCCGAATTCACCTCTTCAAGCTTCCCTTTCAGCTCAAGTGTGCCGTGCCACGTCGCAAAACCCCGGTAGCGCGCATTCTTGGGTCTCCCCCCCCTTTTCGGGAACTCTTCCACGAAAGCCACTTATATTCGCTACAACCAGTAGGTGACACTAGCTAACACTCCAGAATGAAACACGGAGCTATCGCTCATCCAGCCCTTGTCAAACTCAGCTAGGTACTTGTATGTACATAGTAGGGAAGGGCTACTAACTTTTTACTGCGGTTAAAGTTAACCGGCTTCGAGCAAACGGGCCCAGAAAGTCAGTCAAGATATTTATATCTATCACTAAATACAAAGGGAATGTGTTTTACTTGATGTTCCACACAAAAGGCCGCAGAGGGCTCAAAAGTTGGCAAAGGTGGCCAGCTTCCTAACAAAGAAAAGGACCGTTTTTTCCCTACCAGTCTTTTCCCATATCATGAAACTGCATTGCCTTTGTCGTAAACAAGAAAGCAACTTTGTTTTATGAAAGTCCTCTTGTTTCCATATCACAAAGCAGTCGCACAAAGGCCGATATTTTTCTCCACAAGAGTGAGAGAAAACTTTTATTCAAGCTGCCCATGTCCGGACAGTGATTCGCCACAAGATACTGCTAACAGATTCGCCTGTCCGTGTGTGTCGTATGTGTGTCTTTTATTGCCTTTTAAACTTTTAATCAATATGTACCAACTAGCCCCAACCAAAGATTTATTTTTAACAGAATGTTTGTCAGCACCCCAATCCTACTTGTCTTCAGAGATTGCAGCGATTGCCATGGTGTGCTTAATCAGTACTTGCCCCAATGTCTTATCTATGCACACACAGACATTTACAAAATATTTACAGCCCATTTGGGCAGCTGCATGTCCTTGCTCAACTCAAACTTCACATTACTGCAGATTCCTCTATTTGCTGTCAGCTTCCGTTTTTCGCACACAGTGCCTGTTGAATGGATTAGAGGACCCTAAAGATTACAAGTTTTAGCTGGCCTTCAAACTCCATATTTCAAAAATTTTGTTTGCACAACCTTAATTTTTTGTGAAATTGGGGAAAAAACTTCAGAGATCGAGAGTCTTGCAGTACTAAGTCTTTCAATAATCAGTAAGTCTGCACAGCTGTACACAAACACTCCTGACATTGCAAAAAGAAGAGCCTTTGTAATAAAATGAAAGCTCAATAATTCCTAGCTATGGGCAAATATCCTTACAAAATGCAATCACGATAGTACTAGTACATCACGAATGCTGGAACATCTTGAGCAAATGTGTGAGACGAACAAACAAAAATGCTAGCTTCTGCTGCTGCCTCATTGTTTAGCTCGAATCCACACATTTTTTATGCCACCTCCACTTTCCAATCTAGAGATTGCGCCTACGCCGCACACAATGTAGGCAGCCCTGGAATGAGGCTTTGTCGCTTTCTAGGGAAACGTAGGACGTCAATCAATATGGGGCAATTGCAGTGCCAAACACACAAGTCAACAACAAGTTCAGTGAGCACAATGACTTGCACTACTGAGGAGAATGCTTTCAAAAGGTATGTATACTGGGCAGCAGGCACGTAGTCAGGATTTTGTTTCGGGGGGGGGGGGCATGGGCTTGCCCCCCCCCCCCCCCCCCCCCCCTGACTACGTGCCTGTTGGGCAGTGTTGTGAAGTACTTTAAGAACATAGTACTTAAAGTACTACTTCAAGTAGGTTTAGAAAACTGTAGTTTACCTCCGAGTACATACTTGTAATTTTTTCTGGTACTCTCCAAGGAAAGCATAACTCCAGACTTTTTCAAAGTACATTCACCAACTTTCGTCTTGTTAATTTTGTATCACAAAATGATGCTTCGTCAACTCTGAACAAATACTGGGAGGGATATTCTTTGGAGCTCTACTCTCACGAAAAACGTGAACAGACGACGCATTGCTCCGTTTTACAGGGGGCATTTTCAGAAGCACTTTTAACTCTCGCTACTTGTCGCTTGTTCAGTGCAAGTGAGGGGGACAAAGATATTAGGAGAGGACACTGTACACAAGAGGATTGCTTGCAGAAGCTACGGGGCTGACGTCATGCTCTCTTTTAGTATGTTTAATCCCCTTTGGCACAAGCCAGTGCAAGTGGTGCCAAAAGCAGAAGTCGGAGGAACTCCTGAATTCGGCCCTATATCCAAAAACAGCTAATGTGTGGTAACTTGACTTTATCCAATATTCGCTGCCATTTCCAAAAATAACTGATGCACCCCCGATTACCCTTGGGGCAACGCATGCCAGTTAAAAAGATTCACTGTACAGAAAAATGAAATGGCATCATGAAAAATTGTGTTAAAAAGTACTTGTAGTTTACTTTGAAAGTATGTATTTATAATACTTCAGGCACATTGCACCCGTGTACTTACTACCTTGCTTAAGGTACATAACCTATTCTTTAGGTGTATTTTACCCAACACTGATACTGGCAGAACATGGAGTGAGCCAAGCATTGAATGAATCTGTGGGAATCAGCGATTCATTAATGAGAGACACCATAACTTTCCATAAAGGCATTCTAAGGCAGGAGTACGGCCCCTAAAAAAGGGCATGCTTTACAGGAACGGTACTTGAGTAAAGTGACCATATTCCTCGGGCCCCAAAGCGGGACGCGTATCGGGAAAAGGAGGGGGGGGTATTGTGTTGTGAGACTTGAAAAGTTTGAATTTCGGTAACAAATCATACCTTTTCTTTATTTCGTATACCCCGTGTGCATTTTTTTTCTTGCAATTTGCATACTGTGTGGCTTGCAGCCATCTAATACATTTGGTTGGAATATGCCTTTAATACTAATGTATTGATTCTTGTGTACTATGGTCCATAGCACTGTTCACATGTCATACGCCAATTGACCTTCAGCATCTTCTCTGTCGAGCATATCTTGTTCCTTGATCAGAGGAGGCATCGTCTCGCCGGTGCGATCTTTTCGTTTAACCGAATCTTCCATCTATCCGCTGTTCGAGGAGCAAAAGCGGGACAAAACGGTGTCCCACAAGCACGCTGGCGGGACAGCGGGACCACGGCCGGAAAAGCGGGACCTGTCCCGCCTAAATCGGGACGTCTGGTCACTTTATACTTGAGTCATCTTGATGCTTAAAATCATAGTAGCCAAATATCGGCAGCTTTATCTAAAACAGGAAGTGACATTGCTCAGAAAGTTTCATTTTGAAAAGTGCACTTTCGCTAATTAAAAAGTTAACTAGTCAATTGCTGGTTACTTGTTTAGTTAATCAGTGTTTCTTGCAACTTCTGACGTCCACCATGGCTGGCAGTGTGTTCCCAGAAATCTTCTTGATCTCAACCACACCATTTGTAGCGATTTTTAAAAGTCTTCGCTAAGAGACTTGGTATTTAAACAAGTACAGACACCTGTTGCAATGGATTCAATGCCAGTGACCTCTTGCACTCGCTCTGTCTCTCAAGTGGCCCCTTCTGTTGTTCTATAGGAACAGCTCGGACAATGGATAACCCCTCAAAGAAACGCAGCTGCTCTCCCTCCAACAAGGTCTGAACGTCCGCGGGAGAACCAAACAATGGCACATTTTCAAGGTCTGCCAAAGGGCCCAAGCATGTGCTACTGAAAGTCGCTACGTGCAAGCCCTCAAATTCTATTAACCTCGCAAGTAAATGAGAGTCTTCCGAAAGCTCCAGCTGAATATTCTCAAAATTTAAAAGCTGAGAGATAGGGAGAGAGGGAACATTACTCATTTCAATTCAATATAAGCACAAATCAGTGGATTAAAATGGGATGTGGCGAAGCAGAAAAAAAAACTACAAAAGAAAGTTTTTTTTTTTTTTTTTCATTTCTGCATTTAAAGTACTTTTGAGGTGCAAAACTGTACAGAGGCCTATAGTTCGAGGTAAAGCCAACAACTACAAACACACACTGTCATGGTCCGGAGAGAAGCCAGCACAAAGCATGACTGCCACCGACAGCAACCGTTTACTTATCAAATTAAAGGGGCCATGAAATGAATTTTGGGCTGGAATAAATTATTTTAAATTAGGACTTTACTAATCACATATCGTTTAGTTGGCCAAAAGAAAAAGGGTAGAAAGTCAAAAGCCAGCTTTTCGGTACGAGCATTTGAAAATATAGCGGACTATTTTGTACCTTCTCTCCTCCGAAAGCTCTCCGCCTTTTCACTATGATATACCCGCGGTTCCTAAAGCGCGTCAATGTGCCAAACTGACGTCAGCCAAGCCCAGCTCATGCATTGGACACGAGAACTGCGTCACTCGGGCGTATGCGCTCGTCAACAATAAATCCGTCGACGAATATTCGGATTCGCGTTCGTGGCCAATGAGTGCCCTGGCGGAACTTATCATCACTGGGGAATGGCAAGTTCTATGGCGTGCATAAAAAGCACGCTGGAAGCTAGGAGTCATCGCACCGGTGCCGAAGAATGTCACGACGACGTGATTTCACAATTGGCATTTGAGTTGAGGATTAAAGCTAAGGAGGAAGAAGTAGGAAAACTGTTTCATGACCCCTTTAAGGGAGTGACGTGCCCCTAGCTCGACGCTGTTTTCAAACGTTCTGGAAGCATCTCCAGTTACTCGCCAAAGATGCCAGAGACAGGCGCGTTTCCGCTTAACACCACAGAAAATTTTGCCTAAAATGTCTGCCGTAAAATATCGGGGGAGTGACCACTGACCACCTCACTTTCGCTGAAAACTGGGTTAATCTAGACATGGGCACTTCTGCGGTATTTTACGGTAGGCACATACAAGGCTATTTATGTAGCGCACCGCAACTAAATATTCTTATAAACTTGAGCGTGTTGGTAATCTACATTGACTTAAAACGAAAGATACACACAAGAGGACGAAACAGATGACACAGCTTTCGAAAGCTGTGTCGTCTGTTTCGTCCTCTTGTGTGTTTCTTTCGTTTTAAGTCAAAATAAATATTCTATGCCCGGCTTCTTACGAAAAAGAATGCATGTCCGGCAAGCTACGCAACTGCTGTAAAAGCGAAAGCCTGTGTGGTCAAGCTTCCAAAAGACAAATAAAAAACTGGGTTGAGCGACTACGGTGGAACGTAACGCTACTTCATCGAGCGGCAGCTTCCACTTCAACATGGCCAGAGGACTGAATGAAACTTCCTCGCGGGGGCCGCTGACCCTCGATTTCTTAGGTACACAAAGCAAAGCGGGGAGGTTGATGGGCGCTTACCTGCGTGGCCCTGTCCACCATGGGGCGACCACAGTAGCTGTGCAGGTCCCGTGGCCACTGTGCCGAAAGGTAGATGGCATCGAGAGAGGCTGTCCGCCGCATCAGCCCACCCAGCAGGCTCAGCGGCTTCGACTTGCACTCTGCGCAAGCAAAGGCGTAAGCAAGGCCGTCAGCACTTGGCACAGACTTCCGCATTGGAGCTAAGTCTGAAGGAGTCTTCGGTATTCATCAATGCTGTCATCAAGCCGCTCCTCATACAATTGGACTTTGATTCCACATCCTTTGCGTTGAATCCGCCCAATTAGGAAGCATATTTTATGTAGCAGGAAGCAATTCATCGTCTTCTGCAACTAACAGCATTGCTGCCATAATTGCAAATTGCCGCTTCATGTACGCCTCCATTTTTCTACTCTCATCAGAATTCACAGACCTGTTGTTGAGAGTGCGGCCACTAAATGTACGCTGTGCACTTTGAAAAAAGGTCTATTGGTGGTAACTGCCAAATATCCAAGAACAAGCAAGCATCTGGTAAATGAAGAATCTTGTCCCTCAACTCCTAGATACAGCCCAAATAACTCTCCTTTTGTGCCAACCCGTCTTAGTGCAAAGTGAAAACTCTGACATCATTAGTTTGAAAACACCAAACACTGACTGCATGGTACTAAATTTGGGTCCTTCTTGTTCATAGTCTGATACTAGTTCAGAATGCTCCAGTCCAAATAAATGCCAAATAAATGGTAAGGTGCGAATCCACCACTGAGAAATATCACAATATTCAATGTTGACAACACCTCCTATCAGTTTCAGTTTTAAACATGTACCCTCAACTGCCAGGCTCGGAACCATACTTAAAAACAACTCAATGCCAACTGTCAAAAAAAAAAGAAAAAAAAAAGCACACACACACAACATTTTTATTGTTGAGGTTGCTATGAAGAAACAGAAAATTGTCAACATGGACGGATTCGGACTGGTTTGCCTCTCTTAAATTAATACCCGTTAATGAGAAGTCCCTCTCCGTTAGTGCACTTGATGTTGTTATGGCATGCACGAATTGTGCCATAAGAACAAGGTGTGCAAACTCAAGCTGGCACAAGTTTCACCACTCCAGAGAATTGAATTCCGGCTCCTCAATCTATTTGTGGGGGAAGAAGAAGCCACATGCAGCTTCTACTTTCTTGTGGCTCGTACATTTTGGGTTTTTGGTTGCTTTTTTTGCCCAAAGAACATTTTCTGCTCTTTCCTTGCCAAACAAAAATATGTTTGCCGGGACGACTGATGCTCCTGCATTCTTTACTTTTTCTAGGGACAGCATTTTTGGCGATATAGAACATTCTAAAGGGATCTTTGGTGAGAATCGGATTTTTCTTGACGTAAGGAACAATCTTCTTCCCGATTGGCACCTTTTGTAGTCTATTTTCTCCTGCAATACATTTGATGATGCACTTCATAGTATCACTTGTCATGGGCTTAAGCTGAGCTAGTTGGTTCATTGCTTATGATAGGCCAGCTAAACAAAAAATACACACACAAAAAAAAATCACATACAAGAAAAACACAAAAACTATCACTTGCTCACACTGTGCGATCGCGATCGCACATGTTTATGGGCCGCCTCGGCAAAAATGTAGATCCAGACCCTCAGATATCCGCAAGCTGGCACTTGCACCCTATCCTCAATCCGCCAAATCTGATTCATTTTTATCCGCATCCGCTAGTTTACTGCCGATGATCTGCGGGTAATCCGCAGATGTGCAGGGCTCTAGTGACCGATGACAATCAGGGTGTGGAAGGAGCTTCTAGCACATTATTAATTTGTATCTGACTACAGCAAACTTTCATACTTTTACCTTTCTCCTGTCATACTGAATTCTGTGTGTACACGTGTACGCATGAAGGTGACAAAAATCACAACATGAAAGCAGCCGTTTACTGTCCATACTTCGGAGCAGCACTGCCCCAAAGAGTCAAGCACGAGCCATGCAATGCTCCTGCACACAATGCAGGGCTGAATAATGTGTTGTAATGGCAATGAGCTGGAATCTTTACAATATACATATATACGGCAGTATGTAATGTAACAGTAGCATCAGTCGGAGACAGAGTTGGACAAAAAAAAGAAAAAAGCTTGCACTTATAGGTTACCTTCCTAAGTCGGGAGTTTCCGCCACACTAGCAGTTTTTATCGCAGTCGTTCCATTTTAAGATACAAGTTAAATCTGGTGACTGCTTGTCTGCGATAACAGTGTTACTCTGCATACATAGTGCTTTTTTTGTTTTCACATGATGTTGAGGAACGTCAAATAGAGGTTTTATTTGAATTCCCAATAAGCCGAAGCTTAGTATATTTGTTTTCAGAATGGCTGGAACTGAGTGGTTATCTTTTTATAAAGTTGTGGCTAAGCAAAGAAGACTGTAAAAATCTTGTTTAAATTTTCGGGGAGACATGGGCTTATACCTGCTTTTAGAGAATGTGTCTGGAATGCAAATATTGGGGAAGACCCGGTTTTGCATAAAAAAAAAAAGAAAAAGAAGAGACCTACATATACACTACAATTGGACGTCCAAGCTGCCACAAGGGTAGTTTCGACATAATGATTGTGCAGTTGAACAACAATACATGCACCTAAAACCTCTAACTCCAGCGACCCTCCTAAATGGGCCTTCCTCTTTTTCTTTCCAACAAGAGTGATGTTTCTGCTGATGTATGTTAGACTGGAACCTCCTTTTCATAATTAGAATGAAAAAAGACAAATATCACGTATGCACACAATATGCAACAAACCAGGAGACACGTAAAAAAAGAACTGCTCCGTTCGTTGCACGTCTCGCTTAGTTTGCGAATGCTTTTTATCTTGATTTATTTTTTTTTCTCAATTTTTACCTACTAGAATCTTCACGCGAGATGGCAGTATTCCGAAACAAATAAATACAGATAACTAAAGTGACTACACCTTCAAGCCCCACATGTCCACATGCACAGTTGCAGGAGTACACGCAACACCTACAGTGTGTAACATAGAAATCTGTGTGGAAAGCAAAGCAGCCCAACTAGACAAACGAAAAAAGAAAATAGAAAGCGACAAATGCATATGGCAGATGAGGAAGTACTGCTATGCCGTTTTTATCTGGCTTTTTTTTTTTTTTGCTTTTGTATTAGTGCATTTGGGCCATGCATAGGATGACCCAAGGTCGCATCTAACGCACCAATTAAGCCAGTGTGGCTCGTCCATTAAAGCGGACAGGGTGTTGCGGTACGGGCGACGCAGTCAGGCGGGACAAACCGTCAATGCGCCGGAGCATGCCATGAATAAGAGCATGTGTACAAGCAGTGCGGCGTCCCTCCTAATCAGCAACGTGTATGAGAGGACCTGCGGAAGCATCTGACAAAGGGGTCGTTTATTTGTCTTTTCCGACTCGGACACCAACAAATATGCCCAAGGAGAAAAAGAAACAAAAAAAAGAATGAACCGTGGAGATTTGCGTGGGTTTGGGTTCAACCTCCGACACTTCCTTCGTTTGTCTGGTGGATTTCTTGTGTCAGTATCTCACTGGTACAGTGCAATCATCTGTATGTCAGTTGAATGAATACACTGCACAAATAAAATGAACGCAATATTTAGAGCCATGGCAATTGTTTCCGCCTGTACAAAAAAAAAATTATGCTTACTTTTTTTTTCACGCAGCACGGGATTTGCAAAAAGTGCAAGGTGCAGCCATCTCCGACTTTAACTTTCACCGATTGATACAGATTAAGAATATATATATATATATATATGTGTGTGTGTGGGTGTGCGTGTGTGTCGCGATGACATATATATCGTCGCGCGATGACAGCGCAGCAGAGGTTGATTGCACTATCTCTCCACGAGGCGCGGTGCCGCCGGGGCCGAGATGCGCTCCGATAGCAAACCGAAACTTAAAAACCCGTCGAGTTTGTGCGGTTTTTCTGAAAGCCGTAAAATGCTTCGCGTGACTTTTACCGTTCTGCAATTTCCTAATTTAGTGTTTTTCGACGATGCTGAGCAATTTTCTAATTTAAACCATGCCCTTAAAGACAATATTAAAAAGTTAAATATGGTACGCAAAGATAATTAACAACTTAATTATCCTGGACTTTAATAATTTTCCTAAATAGGCCCCTGGTTTAGGAAAAAAACGCCACAAGCCTTTTTTCGTTGCCACGAGTAGTTTTCGCAGGAGCGATTTGGCCTGCGTTCTCTGAAACACCCTGTATATATATTACTGATTCAAAGCAGTTGACCTTTGTGCGTGCATACGTGAGATAACTGTGGTATTTCGAACCAACAGGAGAGCGAGAGAACAAAGGAAAATCCAGACGCTCCATAAATTAACCTCGATGAAAATCTCAACCAGTCAGGCGTGGAAGGAACAGTGACGTCACCAACGAAGCTGAAACTAGAAGCTCCGCCTTCACCGTGAGCTCTCTGCCCTTGCTAATGCGGAGCGCAAGTTCGTCTGCCAAACTGATTGGCTCCGAGTGAAAGATGGTGGCCAGATCTCGAAGCAAGCTGCCTTGACGCCTACCCAGTCTCCTTCAATGAGAGCCAATCAGAGCTCGGCGTCGTCCTGACGTCACTGCAACTCCTGCGCAAGAAGCAGACGACTTTAGGGTGTCTACATGTAGGCACCCTTGCTTTCCGCATACAAGTGTGAATGAGCAGGCACGCGCAAACAAAGCACTGCGGAAGCCAGCGAGCTCGCGTCAGCGCGTTTGTCCCTTGGGATTTCGGGAAACCACGAACGATGACGTAATGCGCCGGCCTTCTAGGCGGCATTGGCTGGAGACACCTCAAATACAACCCTTCACCAGCTGAGCCGCTCTTCACTAAACAGCTTCGCCGCCATTGCAACAGCACGTCCAACGTCGCCTTGAAGTAGCGCAATCATGTCGACGAGCACGGAAACAGCCGACACACGAGAAAAGCTGCTGATCTCTGTCGACGATGGCAGTCAGAAAGTATAAAAACAATAACATGTCCAATGACAAAAAAAAAAAAAAAAAAAAAAAAAGAAGTGTAAGTATTGGAGATGGAGAAAGAGTGATAAAATGTCCTTTGGAGAAGGCATGCTAAAAACGCTCGCATAAATTGTAAACATGGTTCTGCTATGCTTTGGA